TTAGATGTCTCCTAGATTTTATTTAGCCTGCCATTCATTCAGCAGACTCACTCATCACCTTGAGGCGCTCTTCCGTCAAACAGGCTGAGAATTTAGATAATGATCCATTAAGATAATCGCCTCGCAAAAACTAGCGTGCGGAAAATTGCGTATGTCAGGAGTCTTAATTGATGGAATACTGAGAATTCTAGCCACTATTACAGTAATCAATTCGCTATTTGTTTGGCTTGCTTCGGCGTCATTAACGATGACGTCAGTGCTTTGTGTTTAAATTTACTTAAAACAGTCAGGGTAAGTAGCAAATTATTCACAATATCTAATCTGAGTCACGAAACCAAGTCAAATGTGACCCTACTCGTATTAGACAAAAGCTTTGTTGATTGTAATGTTCTAACAAGGAGAAGGCCTATTTAGGAAAACGTTGTGATTAGAAGGATGGGCTCTTAAACGATCCACCCACTATCACATCGGTGAATGCATCTTATTGCCTATAAGGAAGTTGCTGACCTCATGCAGCTATCGATTTAGCTCTCAAAAGAAGCATTTCCAAATAAGAAGATTCATGATCACGATTACTCCTAAGTCGTCGTTCGTCTGAGTAGCAGAACAAATAATGACAAATGAAAAACATAAACAAGGGTGAATGCACCCAATTGACTTAAAAGGAAAGCGCTGACCTAACGCCTGCATCGATTTCATGGGCGAGCTTATTTGTGCAGCTCGTGACGCGCCTCCGCGGCAGACGATAAACCGGGTAATTTATAACCCGAATGTCTTACTTTGTTCGCGATTATCGTGCCCAATTGCGGCTAACTAAACTAAAGGGCAGAAGAACTTGGCTCGCTTCGTGCCTTGCACCAGGTTTGCTCTTTGTTTTTTTTTGCGCTGTAGCTAGAGTTAAAAGCTGCGGCAGCGGCGTGCGTGATATTATGAAAGTTTTTCACTATAATTTTATAGATCGGTCAATAGAGTAATATTAATCTAAGCCATTCTGGGAGTGGGTAGTCAATGCAAAAAATCGCTCAACGGTTGGAATGTGCAGGTGTCAAAATGTCCATACGGACCGGCTGTTAGTGTGGCAATGAACCTAATGAGCTGTTTTTACAGCTATTAGTTATGCTCAATTTGTAGATGCGCTCTCTGACGAAATTATGAGTTTGCACGAGGCTGCATATAAATAAACATAGATCAAGCTATTTCTAAGCCGATTCATTCTAATTATAATATCGTAACGAATGAACACTGAATTCATGAAATATGCGTAATTAATATTCCTTTGATCTCGCATCGGTTAATCAAAGTTATTGAAATACGAGGGAGATTGCGATCACGATTTGATGATCTAAATCACGTTGTTATCCCAATTTACCAGCTTAATATGTCAAGTTAGAGATACAATGCGGTTGCTATATTAGAATTTTAGTCACAAAATAACCATGCTTACTCTTAAATACTCTTAATAAATCAAGAATCCTTAGTGACGGCTTGTTTATGTAATATTTTTGATTGGTTTGTTTATGCCGCGCACGCGGGGGTGATTGCTTTACTGCGCTATGTTTAGAAATCCCAAACATGCACTTTGTTCCCAGACGGTCAATAGCACGAGCTGAAGTCAAGTGGAGATTATTTTGATAAGCATGATCATAATAACATTAATCTTAGGAAATTCTTTATCTTTAAATATGGAATGGAGCTATTGGCCCTTATTACCTTAACGAAGTCCTGCATACATGATGCAGTAATATGCAAGTGTTAATTCGTGGCAAGTGGTAATCACGCGCGTCCTAGATTAGTCAATGACATTCCCGATGCCCCAGGGAACTGCGTGGCCGTGTCGTCGGACGTGTGAGTGGAGTTAACCTCGTCCCGGGGGCAAGTGCCCATTTGAGTGCTGATTGAATTAACGAAATCGTGGTGGGTCCGAGGAGCGTAGTTTGGCGCTGTGGGACTATTTGGTAATTCATTAGTCTGAATTGGACATAAATTTATTCGAACTTGATTACACAATTTCGATGATTGTGTCTATTTCGACCTCAAAGAGCTGGTCAAACAGTGAGCGTGCATTTCCCGTAATTACCTGATGTTGCTGTTCTTAAAATAGCAAAAATAAAGAATATCTATGTGTACTTACATTATGTAGTAATTTGTTCAAATCCCGCCGAAAAGCTCTCGTGACCTCGGCGAGAACGTTGGGAGTCCCCGGGGGTCTCCTCAGGGGGCGACCTTGACGTTGCGTGACTCGGATACAGAAAGGGGCGCAGATTTGATGCTGTACAGCCGAGCACAAATTGTGTAGTCCCGATATCACCTGTACCAAAATGTTTCAATTATTATTGTGACCGTCCAGCCTTTGAGATAATTATCCTATCTCCGCGGGATCATCTTCAACCTTGACGTTTTGTGCCTGGGTATACATAGTGCGTATTGTTTTAATAGACGATTATTGTGATTCGAACAAAATTGCAACGATTAACTTAACGAGGCGTCTCTACCCTCGAATCTGATTGGGCTTTCGGGATTTTAATGTGTTTTTTAAAGCAATTTAAAACAACTGCGTAATCCAGCCATTCGTGTCAGTGAGTAATAGTGTAAATGTGTTAATGTAACACGCCATATCGATCGGCTGCACCAGTGCAGGGAGGAGCCGGGATTCCCGAGCCGCGGCGCGGTCGCTGCGCCATACATATCGCACAGCACAATTATACCTTGATTTTTTAGAATCCAGCAGAGATGTAAACAAACGCTTTCATACACAATTACACCATAATCACTTACGTGTTCATAATATCATACACATTATTTAACAAGCCCATAAAACCAACTTTATTTTCACGTTTATACAAGTTTGAAATCAATCTTTGAAACAAATATTTTAGCAAAATACGTGGACGATGAAAATTTGTGAGACTTGTCAAATTGACTTGACGTTTAAAATCATGTGTTATCTCCATATTGTCTATGACTTGTCTCTGACACATCAGTGCCGTAACCTGTGAGTCATAGACAATAATCTGTAAATTTAATCGATATTATTTAAATTATTCACTTATTCCGATTACTGATTAATTTTAAATAAAAAATATTTTATACGATACTTTGTTTAGTTTTCCAGCGATAACTTCGACAATATTGGAGATAACGTAAAATTACTTTTCTACTTTTAATGTTTACTTTTTCGGATGCAGTTTAATTTTTAGTCGGTTTTATTTAAACGAAATTATTTTACTTTTTTATGCAATTATGCTTACGTATTGTTTCATTGTTTATTTTTAAGAAAATAAAAAACTTCTTTCAATGAGTGGATTTTGACATAATTATCTGTTAATAACATGTCAAAAATAACCAATCATGCAGCATTTGAACCTCGCGTCTACGTATTGCCATCTGGTGGATTTTTCAATCGCGAAAACCCTCATTGATAGCATCTTAAATTACCTCCCTAGCGGAATAGAGCAACAAAGAACTGAGCGAGCGAGATGTCACTAGTAGCAACTCTGTCAAAAAGAACTTTTTGCAACTATTTGAAGTTTAATAACTTTACGGATATCATTGATTGTTTTACTGTCCAGTGTGTTTTTTGATTACATCTGTGCATACAGTTTGTTTCCTGTTCTCGAAAATTTCATAATCTGTTCACCCGGTGATGATACGCAAGTACTACAATATTTCACTTCGCGATTAACGAGAGGTTTTGTCGCATCACTAGTTCACAGACTAAAAATATTTTTATGTCAGTTGGCCATATTTGATGACATTTCTGCTGATTTCTAAAAAATTAGACGAGCCTGTTCAACAAAGAAAGAGGGTGAAAAGAAAGTAAGCTCGTTTTGTTTATAATCGCAAAGATATTAACAGATTAATTCAAGAAGTAAATGTAGGTATGTGCTAAATAATGTGAACGGTAGCGGTAGCGCTATCGTTACATGAACCTGTTGAAATGTTGCTGATATTAAGATTTTTTTCAAGTGAACTGGCTGTCCTTTGGTGGCTGTGTCGCTAATCTGTTACGCAACAGTTTTTATTGCGGCGGCCGTCAATGGGGCTGCGGGGCAAAGGGGACGGTTATTAGGTCAGATATGTGCGTAATACAAATAGCGATCACCAAGCTATGTCGGGCTATTGAGTAATAAACGTAGGCCCCTTTAATATTAAGCAGGACTGCAAACATAATATGAAGATATTGAGTAGGCAATTGAAGGCTCTAGTGCTTTAAACAGCGGAAGGGAGATCAAGTTCAAATCAATTCGTAATATTTTGGTTGACGTTGTTTAAATATTTTAAATGTCTTCATTTAGTATCAGGCTGAAATCTTGCTGAGTTGCCCTGTCTGTGTCGCATCTTCATGGAGTTGTCCCATTAGGTCCCGTTCCTTCTTACATTATTTTGTCTTTCGTAAACATGAACTTTCCATGCTGCTGTGCCGTATAGTCAAAACTATCGTGGAGAACCACAGCCATGGGGTTACGACTTTACGTCTCCTTTTTCGTATAATATTAATTTACAAGAAATGACAAATTAAACAACAAGTAGTTAACCACTCCTCCCTCTCGTTTCTTGTGGCAAGCTGACTTCATCGACGACTCATTGGTTGATGTGGTGTTCTAATAGTATGGGCCTCATAAGAAGGCTCAAGGTCACCCAAAGAGCGATGGAGCGTGCTATGCTCGGAGTTTCCCTGCGTGATCGAATCAGAAATGAGGAGATCCGTAGGAGAACCAGAGTGACTGACATAGCCCGCAGAATCGCTAAAATCAAGTGGCAGTGGGCGGGGCACATAGCTCGAAGAGCTGATGACCGCTGGGGCAGGAAAGTTCTTGAATGGCGACCACGAGCTGGAAGACGTAGCGTGGGCAGGCCTCCCACTAGGTGGACCGACGATCTGGTGAAGGTCGCGGGAGGTACCTGGATGCAATCGGCGCAGGACCGGTCTTTGTGGAAATCCTTGGGTAGTGGACGTCTTTCGGCGGAAACGAACTAATAGTTTGTCCTTGGTGTTGCAGGGAAGGTGGTGTGCGGCGCGTGCGGCGGCAAGTGCAGCGGCGAGGTGCTGCGCGTGACGGACAAGTACTTCCACACCGGCTGCTTCACGTGCCGCGCCTGCGCCGCGTCCCTCGCGCGCGGCGGCTTCTTCTGCAAGGACGGACACTACTACTGCCCACAGGTACACCACACTATACATAATATCCACTACACTACACTAAAGGGACATTCCCAGCTCTCTTTCCCACCGCTGCAACTCCTGTGTAGCCAGGATCTACAGCTTGATCGCCAATTAAAACCCAATAAGAGAAGGTCGCATTGGAGATGTGGTGCTGGAGACGGATGCTGGGAATATCGTGGACCGAGTTTCGTACCAATGACTCCATATTAAAAGAACTCGGCATCAGGCAGCGCCTATCAACCACGGTTCAGTCACGCATTTTAACCTTCTTCGGCCATGTATCTCGGCGCAGTAATGACTCCATAGAGCGTCTCGTAGTGCAGGGAAAAGTTGAGGGCACCAGACCACGTGGTAGATCACCAATGAGATGGACGGACCAGATCAGGGCCGCAACTAAGTGCTCGGTTAGCGAAAGTACCCGGAAAGCTGCAGTCCGCGAGGAATGGCGCCGTATTACGAGGAACATCACTCTGAATCGTGATTCAAAATGATGACCACGACCACTCTGACAAGAGTGTACCGACTGAGAAGAAGAAGAAGAGAAGGTCGAGTTGGTCCCGGGGGAAAGTTAAACTGTCATTGGACCCGCAACGACATTAATCAGAAGAATATAGGAGGAGTTAGAAGTTAAGGTTCGACTTCTCTCCGTTGCAAAGCGGATGACAGGTGACAAAGAACTACACTACACTACTAACTAACTATTAATTGTGCTATCTGCAACTTGGCCTGGGCAGACGCAATTCCGCTTACATCTCCCGTGATTTGGCCAGGTATTTCACAGTTACGTTGGTATAGACCACAAGTGGCACTTTTGACTTACCACAAGTGGATTCAAACCTACCTGTTGTTGGTGTAACTAAAAACTCAGTAAAACTCATTTATTTCTGTAAGTAGGCTTTAAAAAACCACTTTTACACGTCCCAGTATTAACCCTACCACTGCTTCAGGACAATAAATGGGCCAGTGCTGAGAAGAAGCAGCGCAAGAAACTCAGTCACTATTGTCAGCCTCTTTTTCAAAGGTTTACAGGTTTTAAATATAGAATTTCAAATGTCAATCATAGGCATAAATCTATACTTGTTGAGTGTTGATAAATACTCGAGTGTTACGTTTATCTAGCACGGCAGTTTGAAAACTATAATCATTGCCATTATACTCAATCACCGACAAAATAGCCTTGCTCTATATTGTAGCTATTTGATTATTTACTATCACAATATGTAACACTTTCTATATTATGTATTGCAAATAAACTATTGGGTATTCTTTGCCACATGGGACTACCTCAGTTTACTGATCCATTTTGAAAACATTCAAATTCAAAATTATTTATTGTGAAACATTACATTACTACATTACAAATGTTTGTTTTGGAAGTGGACTCAATGATGGGCCTTTTCAAATTAATTTCGCTAGGCTAACAGTAAATTAGTTAAGGAAGAATATTCCGTAAAAGGCACGACTTTTGTTGTTTATCTCTTTATAGATTGGTTGTCTTGTACAACCAGCTAATAGCTAGCATTCACACTTCGACGCGCTGCATTAATTCAGGAGTTAACTCCCTTAGCCAGGCAAATGAATGCACTGGACTGCAAGAAGCGTGCTTGATTACGTGATTGACGTGATAAGAGGCGTGTGGGGCGCACGCGAGCGACAGGTGGCGGGTCCCGTCGTGGATTAGTAGAGTAGAATGCCGTAGGTTCACTTCAGCAATGTTCAGCGGATGAAGAATCACCCACAAGAGTACCCAATCTTCTGTATGAACTTCTTTATTTTGATGCTATCGACCACTACACTATCTGTACCATTCGGAATACCTATGTGCAGAAAAGTGTCTTAGGGAGAGCCTCCTGTTCGCGCATGTGTTGTGCATACAGGCATTTACATTTCCGATGTCAGTTTGTGCTGTCGGCACGCGTAGCACGGGCGCCGTCCTGCGGTGATAGATAATGATTTATTATAGTGATCTGGTTACCAATTTACCACACGCCAAAGCTTACTTCTCACAACATTGCAACGCGTTTATGCTCGAACACATTGAGGATCGAATAAAGTATAGTTAAATTGCAATGCCATCTAACCAGAATCTCTTCCAAGGATAAACTTGAAAAAATACAAATATGTTGCCGAGATACAGTCAATAATTTTGCATTATTTTGCTGTCTCATACCTGTTAGACCTTGACTCTGAGTGCCTGAATAATAAACCTTTTCCTTGACATTAAATTATCACGATTACAGTCGTTGTTAGATGTTAATTATGTATTAATGGTAGTTACACAAATGCCCCCAATGTAGTGGGGTTCATTAGTGCGGCGTCCTCGCCCTAGTTCATTTCCGTGCAATAACGCGGGGAGGCCATAAATTCAAATGTTTTAAAGTCTGCTACTCGCACGCGCGGATGTGCCCCACATTCCGAGGCTGGCGGTCATGGAACACCTCCGAAGGTTCCGCAATACATAAACATTAGTGTTTCCATCGTGTCCGATGACAGGAGCCATAAGATCCTGGTGGAAACCTGAGTCTGGTCACGTAAAGACAATCACTTCTAGCAACTGAGTGTAGCCAACTGTTAATTGATACATGTTCCTCCTAACTAATGAGTCTTCATTAGCCCACCTAAGTCAAGATTTGATATCCTACGAGGTATCTTTTGATACTGTTCCAGCAATAATTTTGAAAGCATCCTGTTTAAGATTTCAATTGCGTGAAACTCGTAGATTGGGTATCCCACGCGGGTAGTTGCCGGTGTTGCTGCAAGTCACGGAGCGTCTTTAGATGACTTGCGACTTTAATTTGAGTATCGGTTTGGGGACAAAATTTAACAATGATGGGAAGATGGGTCAGTTTCTTCTGCCTTATGTAGATCATCGATTTTTTTTATGCAAGAAAAGGCAGGTATTAGACCGCAATCGCACCTGGTGTTAAGTAAGATGCAGTCTAGGATGGTACATATTTGCCCTGGTCAAAAGGTCCGGATTATAGTGTTCAGGAAAGACAGCAGCGGGCAGCGAATTCCAGTCCCTAGCTGTTCGCATTATAAAAGAGTCATCCAAACGCATAGTGCGAGTTGGTGGAAAGTATCAATTACATTGTGTCATCGACTAAGTGTCCATAATGTGTCTCCGCAGGACTACCAGCGCGCGTTCGGCACGCGCTGCGCGGCGTGCAACCAGTACGTGGAGGGCGAGGTGGTGTCCGCGCTCGGCAACACCTACCACCAGAAGTGCTTCACGTGCGCACGATGCAAGTGAGTGCCCCACACCAGAGTAAGAAAATTGGCGGTGGTGCTCCAATCTTATAACTTCTGTTATTGGTGTTTTGATAAGGAAGTTTTCTTGACAAATGGAAGTTTGAGGTTTCAATTCGAGATCAGTACCTAATCAATTTCTTTGTGGACCTCTTATAAGTAGACAGCGATTAGATCCACCCTCTCACTCTGGAGCTCTGTGACTTTACCTGCTGACAACAACAACATCTTCGTGACATAAGAGTAACTGCTTGTGAACAGCTTTAAATAGGCTTCAAAAGCCGCCCTTTTCCATATCAAGGAGGCAGCAAGGAAAGGCAAAGCAATGGGTCAAGAATACTTCGTGTAGCTAGTTTTAGTTGTTAAGGCTATCGTAACGGAGCCCCCGTCTGGTTGCAGACGCGCGTTCCCATCAGGCGAAAAAGTGACATACACGGGCGCAGAAGTGGTATGCTCTGCGTGCGTACCGGCGCCGCAGCGGCAGACGGCGCGCACCGGCGCCGCGCCCGCGCCCGCCTCGCCGTCGCCGGCGCCGTCGCCCGCGCCCGCGCAGACCAACCACGTCAACCACGCCAACCACGTCAACCACGCCTCGCGCGACTCCACCGACCGAGCTGACAACAGGAACCACAACGAGAACGGTGAGCTCTATATCCTTACCTCTGTTATAGACTGTTTTGTAAGCACGCCATGTAAAGACGACATGTCTTCAAACAGAACATTTTTTATTGCAAACTTAACCCCATTCCAACTACATAAGATCCCACAGTGTTTAACTTAATGTGCTGGCGTCTGTATGAAACTGGTCCGCGCATAGTGAAAAAGCAATTTTGACAATATACTTAAAGAAATGTAGGTACTGACAATTTCAAGAGGATAGCTTCCAAGGACTATTGATTTCAAGAACTGTTATTACGAACATTTGACAAGAAAATGAATAAATTAATCGTGCTTTGTGGCATTCCTTGGGGAAGGAATTAATAACATTGATTGATTGATACCAACGAGTTTACCATCTTTACCTTCTCTCAGAACAGGATCTTAGCTTTATTTCTCAGTAAAAGACACATAGTAGATAGATGATGATAATGCCAAGAGTTTAACGTGAACAACGACTATTTGTATCTTTATCCGTCTGGGTAACTTTGTAAGAGCAATAAATAACGATAATGCCGGTTTATTGCCAGAGCCGTACAACAACTGCATTGTTATTGCAACGCTACAAGACGTTATTGACTGAAGATATTAAATGTTTTACTACCATAAATATAGGTGGAGTCCGAGTTTCAATGCTTTTCTAAACATTTCCAACATATTTACCAAAAACAACTACACGGTAATGTTAAGAAACTCTTTGAATAAATGTTGTACAATAAGGGAATAGCCTTACTTTCCGTCATTAAAGAGTTTGTGGTTATAGATTGGCAAGATCATTTGAAGAGAGCGTGGCAGGATATCGCGTCACTGAGCGAATGGCTCCCGCATTCCAATCGCGATCGCATTAGCCAATTGCCTGCCGACTGGGAACCGCCAATTTGCTACTTATTCCCAGCATTATGACTCTCGAAATTATTGGCATTTATGTGATGATTTGTTGCAGAATGTGCGGGATGCGGTCAGGAACTATCAGAAGGACAAGCGTTAGTTGCTTTAGACAGGTGAGTTTAGATACCTTTGTCTACAACATTACTTTATTATGTCAGACTTCACTGATATTTATGTTGTTAACTTTTTGATTCCTCCGTTACTAATGCATCTTTTTAATATTAATATAAATAAGGAATAAGACCACCCATACTTTAAATGTCATAAAAAGGCTACTAAGGGACAAATATGCGACCATAATGCCTCTCCAACCCATCAACAGGGGAGTGTGCTCCAAATCCTCTAATAGACAGTTTGACACCATACCTCAATAATTCAAAACCACAACTTTTTTAAAAAGACCCTTCATTCTGGTCTTAAAAACTTAATTAATATCAAATTACCTGTAAATTACGATTTAAGTTCGCATTGTGATTGAAAAAAGTAGTTTAATTGAGTTGAAAAAATAGTGACGTCACTTGCTTGTAGTGCCATACAAAATCTATGGGAGAGTTTCGTTTTGACAGTTTTAAAAAGTACGTCAATTGATTGGTTGTGTCAACATATCTATTCCTCCTGGTAAATCCGAGATGGTCTTGCTCCTGCCGCGGAGTGGAGACTATGAAGTCATGATGCTTGTGTGTAACGTTGCTCTTCTTTTTCTGCCTCGCCTTATCCCGTTACGCAGGGTCAGCATTCCCAATCATGTGCCGCTATTGATTCTATCTAAGGCGATGATCACACTGCGCCGCGCTCCGCCGCGGTACGCGGGACGACAGATTTAATCATTGTATGCAAGTACCTCAGTTTGTATGGAAAACACGCGCGGCACAACACACTGACAACGCGTGGGATTTTTTACATGAAATCACGCGGAGCACGGCGCAGTGTGACAATCGCCTTATGCCCGTTTTCACCATCAATCCCTAATTTTTAAATGACCCCTATGGTAACACATAACAGGCTTTTTGTTTTCATAGGTGTCACTTAAAAATTAGGAATTGATGGCGAAAACGGGCATTAAAGTCGTAACGTTGGCGGTTGCAGACAATGGCACACGTGGTGCTTCTCGTGCGGCGAGTGCGGCGCCGTGCTGGCGGGCGAGTACATGGGCCGCGGCGGCGTGCCCTACTGCGAGCGCGACTACCAGCGCCTGTACGGCGTGCGCTGCGCCTACTGCCAGCGCTACATCTCCGGCAAGGTGCTGCAGGTGCGTACCTGCTGCGAGCTGCTGTCTGCGCAGTCACTAGCCTGTACTATGATAATGATTGAAGGGTACAGGGGCAAAACAAGAAATGTCACAAAAACAAAAAGTTACGTATAGCCTGACCAGGAACATAAAAACCCTGGCACAGAGGCGCGTCAATTGCATTTGATAGTGCAACACTGAGTACAGTCGTACCTGTGTTAAATTAATAGGCTAACTTTATGTATCAGGATTCAGGATTACGGGCTAATTTGATATTTTCATAAATTAACGAAAAAATATTATTATAGGTAACCTGATTTAAATAAATTAAATGAAACCATCAATCGAGCTAGTAGGATTTATTTTATTATTCATCAATAATCAAATTCAGAACTTGAATATTCAACTGCAATGTCTGCTCATGAACGCTTCAAACTCTACTTTACTTCTTTCCTAATCCCATAAAATTCAACACTTAGAAAGTGACAAAAAAATTTAAAATAGGTAGTTGAAACAAACCACAGCTAATTTTCATAGTGGACTGTACTATACGATAAACATGTCAGTCAATTTGACAACCTTTGTCGGAACATTATTCAATGAAAATATTGTCCGAACCCTTAGTATTTCTTTTCGACAAATACTTTAACACATTGTGAACCACTTTTCTTTCACGACTATAAAAATATTTTAGCAATTTAATTCATAAAACCAATTGCGCACATTTAAAATAAAGTTTGTTTACACTTTGACAGCAATAGACTGACATGCAAAGTGACATGTCAATGAAGTTTTCAGTTACTGTTGCCATTAAAAGAAATTAGTACCATTAGTTTTCCGCAACATGGCGAGGGTTTTTATGTTCCTGGTCAGGCTTTAATGAACATTCATTTTTTTTAAAGTTTAAAATTTTTCTGTGTCACTTAAAATTATAAACTACTAATATAAATACATATGACTATTACCTGTTTTTACGCTTTTTGTATAATTTCAAATAAAAATACGCGAGAAATCGAAAATATTGCCATCAAAAATATACTTTTGAATTTTAGGGACATTCCTTGTTTTGCCCCTGTACCCTTCAATAGCAGATCATCCGAGAGCCCCATGTGCGAGAGAGAGAGTTTTTATTCTCGCGTCATCAGTAGATGGACGATCGCGGCCTGCGTCTAAACCGTGCAACGACACGCTCGTAACTAAAAGACTGTAAATGGGTGCGCTCGCGTGGGCGTGACCCTTTGACTCGTACGCGGAAAACCGACGGGACCGATAGCGAGCAAGCGACAGCGAGACACGCCGAGTATCGAGAGTTCCCTGTAAGTGTACAGCACTTGGCATTCCCTAGGCTGTGGTATCTCGGCAAGAGTGTACAGCTGCCATAACGTGGGACGAATCACGAAAAGGCGTACCTGACAAAATGGCGATAATGAGTTAAACATACCATGTTATTAAAAAACTTGCATTTTGTAACGTCACAAAAGATCGTAACTGAATTATTTTCAGGAAGCCAGTATTGGTAGGTAAAAAGGGCCCGAAATGCATTTTTCCACACTTCAAATTATCTTTAAACGTCGCTCCTGTAAAATTGATGAAAATCAGTTACGCCTTTTCGTGATTCGACATACGATAACTCAGCGGTTCCCGAAAGGTGGTCCGCGGAACCCTGGGGTTCCGTGGAAAGGCCGCAAGGGTTCCGTAAAAAATATTATCCCACGTTTCGTGACCGACGTTGTTCACGTGCACCGACTTGTTTAAGCACAAGGGAGGGGCAGGACGTGCGGGCGGAGTAGTACGGGGGTTCCGCTAGGAAAAGTATAATCAATTAGGGTTCCTTGGCAAAAAAAAATAGGGAAACCCTGCGATAACTAACTCTCCGTGCATCCTCAGGCCGGCGAGAACCACCACTTCCACCCGACTTGCGCACGCTGCAGCAAGTGCGGCGACCCGTTCGGCGACGGCGAGGAGATGTTCCTGCAGGGCGCCGCCATCTGGCACCCGCGCTGCGGGCCCGCGCCGCTCGAGCCTGCAGACGACCCCGACGCGCTGCCCGACCCGTCCTGCTCTGAGCTGCAGGTACCCAGCCACCTTACACCCTCAGACCCTCTACCACTTAATACTTTATTGCATTTCACAGTGTAGGTCATCCCTTTCAATCGATCAATCAATAAAACATTTATTGTGTCAGTTATAGGTAATACAATAACACAGATCTTAAATGTTTACATTAGTCCGCTATAACCTTTTCCACTCCTCCCTCTTTTACAATTCCCTCTTCCACTTCTCCCTTTTGCAGTCTTATCTCTTCCACTCTTCACTTTTTCTCTCTCGTTCCTTTTCCATTCCTCCCTCTTCCCTTTTCCACACCTCCCTCTTCCCTTGTTCACTCCTCCCTTTTCCACACCTCCCTCTTCTCTATTCCGTTCCTCCCTTTTCCCCTATTCCACTCCTCCCTCTTCCCTTTTCCACACCTCCCTCTTCACTATTCCGCTCCTCCCTCTTCCCTTTTTCACACCTCCCTTTTCTCTATTCCGCTCCTCCCTCTTCCCCTTTTGACTCCTTCCTCTTCCCCTTTTCCACTCTTCCCTCTTCCCCCTTTCACTTCTCCCTCTTCCCCCTTTCACTTCTCTCTCTTCCCTTTTCCACTCCTCCCTCTTCCTTTTTCCACACCTCCCTCTTCTACGCCATCTACCACTCCAATCTCCACTTTCCAGTTGACACACTTTACTGATTCCATGAATTTCCATTACGATAAAGGGATACTCCTACCAAGTAGCAACCGTACGACATTTTGTTAGGGTCTGCAGACAAAAATAATATTTTTTGCTTACGAGTATTAGCATCAAAATCTTTAATAGAACTCCTGGAACTCTTTTTACAAATAATTCATATTTGAGGTCGAGAAGACCGTAAGATCACTTGATCGGTCGGTGGTTTCGGTTTTGGATTAAGGCGTTACAAGGCGTCTCACATTGACACTCATTTTAATAGAATGATTATGAAAACCTGTTGGTAATTCACTCGCTTGAATCCAACAAAATTCAATATTACATATTTCGATTCTAACTTTAACTACTTATGTAAATACACAATAATATTTTTTCGCATAGTAGTATTTGAATAATTTTGTAGCCTTGAAGTAGCTGTTTGTTCCTGCACTTCAGTATTTTCAACCTGTTTACTCGGTTACGCTGTAAAGTAACTTGCTAATTAATATTATGATACCCACAGTTTTTTTAAACAAACCACCACAAAAACTCAGTATGAGCATTTGAGAAATGTATGAGCAATTTACCTTACAAAGATGTCACTTTTTTACTGTGTACATTTATAATTTATTTTCCTTTTCAGTTTCTTATAATTTTGTTTCCATTTCCAGCACAAGATGTTTATTTTATGTTTGTGCACTAAAACTTTGAAGAACCATTTTCCACATAATTCAGTTTTAAATTGTAATTTCTTCAGAGTTTTATTGTGCTTACATTGTAGCCCACATAGCATAGTCTTGCATGTGACTGCCCCTCGATATTGTTCCTAAATGTGTAATACACCCTGTTTCTCTCTTTGTATGTATATTGTAGCATTGTTGTATTTATGTTTCTAGATGTTGTCATATGCAAGCTGTGTTGTTGTGGTCCTCTTGCGTTTGTCTATATTCAATCTGTGGTCAAATGTTTATAGTAAATTATCTTATTATAATTTTATTATTTGTTTATAGACAAACGTAAAACCATAATGTGTATCTTAATTTTCACTTCCTTTGTTCTGGAATATGTTTAGTAAAAATACTTTTTTTTGAAACCGAAATTTTGCCATATCCAAAAATGGAAAATAAAAGAAGTGAAAATGTACTTAAGCGTCGATTCTGTCACAAAACTCTACATTGGAAATCTATTTATATGGAAGACTTATGATGTCAAATATTAAGATTCGCTAGCATGAATTATTTGTAAAACAGTTTTCAGTGTGACAGAATCGATGCCTTCTACACCTGATACAAAGTGTGCTCAATTTCAAACCTTACACTCTCGAGTTAAGGTTGAAAATCGTGTACCAATGTCCCGGCCCCAACTCCGGAGCTATATCCGTGCTCGCCGCGCTATCCGTCTCGCTCCCTCGCTGCGTGAGCGAGCGAGACGGATAGAGCGGTGGGCGTGGCCCCGGAGAGGGCGGGTACGGGTAGTGTAGCGCATGCGTGTGTGCAGTGGTCGCTGCGGTCCCGCACGCCGAGCGTCAACGGCTCGTACTGCAGCCCCTACAGTAGCTTGACCAGGAAGGTCCGTCACATTCTTTTTATTTTATTTTTTACTTTATTTTTACTTTTACTTTTATGCACAGGAAATTGTTTTGATAAGTTTTTAACAATTTTGTTTTCATCGAAAATTGCTGTCGCTAACTTTCATACGACAGTAGGTACTATTTACAACAATAATTTGAGATCAAAGAAAGAAATCAGAAAATTCTTACTTTGATCTTTAACGAACTTTCAAATAAATACTACGAAGTACGAATACCATTCTACATCAGCAACGAATCGAAACAATATTTTATCATCTGAACAGTTTTCTGTGCATTGTGCTCTTGAACAAGTATCTACTGATATTTCTACAACATTGGTTTGGTGTTAGAAATCTTTAATTATGTCCTTTCTGAAACATACTTTTTCAAAAGCACACCTTTACTTTTATTTTTAGTTGACACATTTACACGTTTCTTTCTCTTTTGGTTTATTTATTTCAGTTCCCTTGGTTGTTATTCGATGTTTCTTTTGGCCAGCCTTTACATTCAATGAATTACAACAATTGCCTACGCTCTATTAATGTGTTAATTATCTATAGGGTAAGGAAGAGCAAGATATTTACTAATTATCGTGATTTTTACTTCGTATAGATTTACTTTGCCGTAATCCTCTACGGCCGATCAAAAAGCCTATTCAGTAGGCAGTGTCATAACTTGCCTAGCTACAAAGAGAGAAGGTATCGGATCGTAGTATCATTGAATGTATAGGCTTGGCCCAAATTATTATGTATTTATGTTGTCCCGCCGGCACCAAGCATGTGGATGTGTTGACTAACTGGATTGTAGATACAGTACACGTTGCAGTCGCTTGTTTCTTAAAAATATTAATTTAACTGAAACAATACAAAAAAAGAAAAACTTTGAATCTTTACAAAAGTAAGTATAAATTGGTAAACGACTTAGGTTGCCTTCGAAATGATATCTTTTATGGCTACAGTTTGACTCCCTGGAAACTAATTTAAATTTAAAATCGTTGGCTGTTGAACAAGTTCTTTCGCTGCATAATATCTATTTAATTTGGATAAATTACGTTTTAAACAGGCCTTTACACACAGCGAAAATAAAAGAAAATTAGGTTAATAAGTAGGCTTGAAGTTTCTGCACAGAATAAAGTTTTCTAAAAAGTCCTTTTTTCACAATTTCGTCTACTTGACTACTGTCTCTCAATTTGATGATCATTACTCTTGTAAATCGATGTGTATAAAGGTTCTTATCAACTTAATGCAATTTAAATTAAGTACTCATTTGCACAAGGTCTAGTGAATTATTTATATTTCAAGTATCGCTTTGCCTTTGTCATTCGTTTGGATTTTACAAAGAGTCAAGGTTTTGATTCGAATTTTATCAAGTTTATTGTGCAAGTGAGTGTTCATTAAAGTAACAACCTTTGTTAGAATGAAAAATTATCATCTTTACCCGACTGCGGCAGAAGGAGGGTTATTTGCATAATTTCTTTCTAAAAAGTTGTTACTGAACGATTTTAAAATCCCTTTTCATACTCAAGCATAGTGTTTCTGAGAATTAAGTTTGGTTACTTTATAATACATGCTTCATTTTATGAGACGTGGTGCATGTCCGACATGCTTATTACCGATCTTTCATGCTTATTGCTAATTGTAACAATAGCAACGCAACTGCGAGACGAATAAGTAATCGCTGAGTGCATTTATGATTGTGGAAACTTGTACCACTCCCTTGAATGGCAACTAATGCCAGTTTGAACGAGCAATAAATCTCCGCGGCTTACGATCGTCACAAAAAGATCAGTAATAAGCAAGCGGGCTTCTTCCTTGTCTCATAAGCGAGGTTTAGACTAGCAAAAGCAGAAGTTGACTTCCGCAAGCTGTGACCACTGTGTAAATCTTATAGAAGATGTCGTGCCCTGTGTGCCCAAACAACTGCACGCAGGAAGATTTATGAATGAAGGCTACTGACAACGCCATTCATGTCGCGGAGTTTTGTTCTGACGCTGTGTAGGTTTGTTGTCGACACGACAAGAAGAAGAATAGAAGTTGGCTTGTCACAGCTATTTAAACAGTGGTAAACAGCTGGCGCAAGTCAACTTCTGCAAGTTTTATCGCTAGTCTGATCCTCGCATTACACACGTCGCAATAACTTTATCGGCCGTTGTGGCAGATTAAAATACAAATGAGTAGGTCATCTTCATAGAAACGCACCGAGCGCGGTTTGTATGTGAGCACGCCAATACTCGTATAAACACTTTGACGGCGTGATTAACATACATACCGACGGTGAAGTAGCAATACCTCCTTAACTAACATTTTGTACGCGGCGCGCATGCACACACTGACAAAATTCGACGCAACCACGACTGGCTCCCCGCTAATCCCCGCTAAATTTAGTCAGTGTGTGCGTGCGCGCCGCATACGTGTTGGCGCGCGCTCACATACAAACCGCGCCCGTGCGTTTCTATGAAGATGACCTACTCATTTGTATTTACTCTGGTTGTGGCGTGTTTCTGACGTGGTTGTTGGTGGTGTGCAGTACGGCTACCGCGCGGTGTCGCCAGGGCTGGCGCTGCGCGAGTACCGCTCGGAGGGCGGCTCGCCGCACCGCATCACCACGTACTCGTACCTCACGTGCGAGCCCGCCTACCTGCGGCGCCCCGTGCAGCCCTACGACCGCCCGCCCACCAGCCCGCACTTCCACCGCCCGCCCTGTGAGTATACTCGTCACACTCGTCACACTACCCGCCCGTGCAGCCCTACGACCGCCCGCCCACCAGGAGTTGCAGTGGTGGGAACGAGAAGTGGGAATAGTCCCGTTTACCTGGTGTCAGCTCGGTGGCGCAACCAATTTTTGCCAACAACTGAAAATGCAGCTATTTAGCAGCTCTTAGAGCTAGCCAACATGGTGGCGTGACCTTTGTCGCTGCCATGGTGTGTAATAAAGAATATGGATGCTGTTTATTCAGTCAACTACACCACGGTAATAATATCATACAGTATTGTAACTTCATATAAACAGACGAAACGAGAACTTTCTTTCGAAATTCAAATCTCAGTATGCGCTCGGTATGCAAAAGTCGGGGGTGTCGCGAATGTGCCGAATGGACGTCGGTGGCAGTGTTAAAAATGACAAAACTGATTGAATTTGACTGACCTTCATTTACGGTCAAATTGGTCAAAAACTAGTCAAATTGTCATTTTCAGTCAGTTTGATTTGAAATGAAAATTATATTGTATTAAACCACCTTTTGCCCACGACTTTGCCCGCCCGAAATTAAAGTAACAGATCATTATGATTATTAAAGTTTCAAAATTATTTAAGTAGTTTTTATTAAATTAAATCTACTAATCACAAAACAACACACATTTTTAACCTATTCTATTCACAAAGTTTTTTGTTTGTCTAACTAAATAAAAAAATACAATCACAAAACTAGATAGAAATTCTAAGTAGGCAGATGTAATTAATGGGTAATGTAGGTGGGCAGCCCTATCGCATGTTGTCATACTGTGACGTACCGCGCGACTGTTGACATTTATTTCAAAAATATGGCCGAGTTGGAATACTGTATAGATAGTATTACCGTGACTACATGTAGCATGATGATGTACGCGTTTGATACTTTGTGTACTAAGGAAGCATCTTGAAATTAGAATCCCATCAAAAACAATACTTGTCAAAAAAACCAAGTCTCGCAACTTAGTTGTTCTACGGTAAAAAGTTGTGAGATCCATGTAATACCAAGTCCAGGCCAGGAAATCTTTAACGTTTTACATAAATTATTGACTTGGCCATCGCACTAAATAACTTAATTTACACGTGTTTTCATGCGATGGCCAAGTCAATATATTTCAGTGAGTGACAAAATTAAGTAACTTTGACCCGTTATAATTCTTAAACTACTGGTTCAAATTGAATGAAATTTTAAATATACCGTGTCTTTACAATGCCTGCATAGCTAATGAAAATTCAGCCTTCTAGTTTTATCCACAACGAAGTTACAGGCAGTCGAAAATGGCCTGAATTGCTTCGAGAAAAGGATGGTACGGCCGTGCCGCTTTTTTGCTCGACTCGGTCCGTGCCCCCAGATACAATGAGCGTTTGCTTGTTGCAGCGGCGGCGTCGACGCGGGCGTCGTCGCGCGCGGGCAGCAAGGCGTCGTCGCGGCCCGGCATGCGCGCGCTCGTGGACTCCATGCGCTCCGAGACGCCGCGCCCCAAGTCGCCGCACATGAACAACGAGGTAACACTGAAGCCCGGTCGCCGACCACGTAGAATTTCGTCCAATGACCCCAAGCTACCCATCCTTATCCCTCGCGCGTACACTCACACACTCACTGCGGCCACCCGTCGCACAGTCGCGACAGCAATATAATTACGCGCAAACGATAAGGATGGGCAGCTTAGAGTATTTGGACATCACATCATCGCTGAACATAGGCCTCCCCCAATGATTTCCACAAAGGTCGGTTGGTAGCGGCCTGAATCCAGCGTCCTACATTACATAGGGAACATATTTCTTCTACCGCTTCGAAGCACCAGTCGACATGTTCTCCTGAAGTAATTGTAGAGCAAGCTGTTTGTGATAATGTATTTTCGCGCAAGTGTCCATGTGCGCAAATGACTTTTCGTGCTTGTGTCTTCGCGCAAGTGTATCAGGACCACATAAATACACTAAAAATGACCTACATATTACTGTAAGCAATTTGCGTTAGTGGTGCGGGACCGGTATGGTTTTGACACAGCAAAAACACCTTTCCGTCACCGCTTCACTACCGCAAGAACACATGTTAATGTGCTTGTTCTGTAATAAAGAATAATATATTAAAATTAGCGCTACGACTCTGCATATTATCTTGTTTGGTACGCCCTGATCGGACCTAGACCATGTTAATACCTGTGCTGTGTGGCGTATTGGCAGGAGCCCATCGAGTTGTCGCACTACCCGTCGGCGTACAAGCCGCCGCCCGGCACCAAGCCCAAGATCGAGAGAGATGACTTCCCCGCGCCGCCCTACCCTTACACAGACCCAGGTGAGTCACTGAAGTTTTTACTAACTGGGAATATGTTTCCATTAAGAATATTGTTACTACAAATGAAAAACTTTAAATAATATCTTTTGTCTTTACTGTTCAACTCTGCCGTAGTAAGGACAATTTGTTCAGGTGGGGATTACCAGATGATTCAAACTTGGAGTGCGAATGTGGTTATGTTCCCGTTATTAAACTTCTTTCTACTGACAACGATACTCTTGTAGCAAAGTTTTGGGTTGACACCGTAGATTTGTTGTCGACATATCAAGAAGAAGAACAACTAATAGTTCTCTTCATGTTCAAGTATCAGCTTGCACGCACCACTTGATAAAATATGTCACAGTTGAAACAATAACTGAAAAGTGGGCGCGGCTTTAAGGTGAAACATTGTAATGAGTGCCAAGTGGGCGTGGCCTATTTATTGCTAAAGCCTGGTCCGTGAGCACGTAGAATCCCGTCCAATGACCCCAAGCTACCCATCCCTATCGCTCGCGCGTAATTATGTCGCTGTCGCGACTGTGCGACGGGCGCCCGCAGTGAGTGTGCGAGCGCGACAGCAACATAATTACGCGCGAGCGATAGGGACGGGTAGCTTGGGGTCATTGGACGGGATTCTACGTGCTCACGGACCAGGCTTTAGCTGATGCCCGTCCGTAACGATCTCTTGTTGTGTACAGAGAGGCGCCGGCGCTGGTCGGACACGTACAAAGGAGTTGAGTCAGACTCGGAGGACGCGCCGGCCGTCAACGGCGACCACCAGCTGCAGCGCGAGCACCAGGAGCTCGCCAAGATCGAGACCGGCATCGCGCAGGTACGCACTTCCCTACGAGACCAGGGACACCCTGTATAACACCCGTCTAGCGCCGTGATAACTCCTCTATAGGACTATTTCCACCGCTACAAATCCTGAGATTGATGATCCTACGTTACCGGAACTCAGCAGTCAGCAACAGTGCCCATCTAGTGTTGTTTACTACTCATCAAACGCTATTATCTAAAGCTCTAAGGCCGCGTATCCACTAGAGGCATTCTCGGGCCGAGTGACTGCTTCGCCCCGAGACAGAGCAAGTGGATATGCTGCCTCAATATGCCCATAATATGACCATGATCTTTAGTGCATAAAATTTTTCCTTTCAGGTATTTTTAAAAGAAGTAAAAGAAAGGGAAAAACTTCAACAGTGGAAAAAACAGAACCTGGATCCAAGAAATGCTAGCAGGTAACCGTTGATTTTTAATTATATTTTTTTATCATAGCGTCATGCCAGCATCATAGCAGATGAATTTTCAATAATATAGCAATAAAAACACAATGTAGAGAAAGAAATTTTGGCTTACAAGTTTGTAATTTCTAACCACCATTGTTTGTGATAGCGATCGTATCGCGTGTGATATCAGAGCCCTGATTACGGTAATTTTTAACGTCTCCAATCCAGACGCGCTTCATCGATTTTGCGATACGATTGGTCAAAACAGCTGACGTACGCTGTTTTGATCATTACGCTGACCAAAGTAAAGATGTGTCGTTATGGGTTTTTGAAATAACGAAACGCGACGGTTTTCGAATCACGAATAACGTTTTCAAAACTAGTTTTTTTAAACGAAGTTATTTCCACAACGCTCAAGCAAGAGTGATAATAATAACGTTAGGTGTTTGGTTAGCTGCAAGGCCTTTAGGAACTTATGACCTTCAAAATAAGACTCAAATTCGATTGAATATCTAACGTATGACGAAGATTATACCTATTTCATCCACAATTATGTTAACGTCCTATGGCTTTCTCACTCGCACACGCACTCGATTCGTTGCGATCCTTATTATTTGGACACCATACATTACTCGCTTTACTCCTTTAGGTTACAAAAAATATGTTTAATAATCGTCAATGTACGACGTTGTCCTCAAAACTGTCATAACGAAGCGGGAAACACGTTATTTTTTGTGTCAACCAAACATCTACCTTATGTTGTTTGCTTAAGAGTGAATTCAGTTTAGCTTTAGAGCGTTGTGGAAACAATCGTGTTGAATAACGAAGAGATTCTAACGTTGTATGACGTTAAGAAAAAAACTAGTTTAGGCGTTTTTGGATAACGAGTGATCACTGGTCAGGCTAATCACTCGTTTAATAACCAGTGATAACGAATAACGCCCATCGCTAGACCAAAGTAATCGGGGCTCAGGCCAGTTGTGACGTGTCGCGTGTTGTCGCAGGACGCCGTCAGCAGCACGCGAGGCGGGCACGCGGCTGCGCTACTCGTCGCCGGTGGGCGCGTCGCCGTCGCGCTCGCTCGACCACCCGCGACACGACGCGCAGCACTACCCCGCGCACCACCATCCCACCTACAACGGTACGTGTCCACACCCACCTCACACGTGCACATTACACACAGAAATCAATCGAACAACAGATACGTATACAGGGTGACTTTTAAATCGTTAGCTGGCATCCTTCTAAAGCCTGGTCCGTGAGCACGTAGAATTTTGTCCAATGACCCCAAGCTACCCATCCTTATCGCTCGCGCGTAATTATATTGCTGTCACGACTGTGCGACGGGCGCCCGCAGTGAGTGTGCGAGCGCGACAGCAACATAATTACACGAGAGCGATAAGGATGGGTAGCTTGGGGTCATTGGACAAAATTCTACGTGCTCACGGACCAGGCTTTACTCATGGTACAGTCAACATCAAATAGATCTAATATTCAATATTTAATATTAATGTAACCAGTCAAAGTAAGCATATTGTTTGAGACACCCAAAATAGTCAATATCATGTAAGCAACACTGTTCTCAATTTTATATGAGCTGCCAGGATGTTCAAAAATATGTATTCAGGGAATGTACTATGTATCCTTAGTAGACTCTTAGTATAAAATGATGCCAACGATTTAAATGTCAACCTGCATACACGCAATTACCCAAAAAGTCTCACACACAAAAACGTATGATGCACCCTCGTAATATCTCTCCCTTTTATTGTGGGTGCATATTATGTACTAAACATTATACTTTCACATTACACACAGAAATCAATCAAAATCATCATTGGGCATCCATAAATTACGTCACACGAATTTCGTGATTTTTGACCCCCTCCCCCGTCCTTGTCACAGTTGGTCACATTTGTGATACCCCTCCTTCCTATTGTGACGTCACATATTTTAAAATTTTATACAATGTTACACTTCGTTGACCCCATTAACGTTTGACGTAATTTATGGATGGCCCCTTATCATCAATCAATTTGTTATAAAACATTCATTTCATAAGGTGACATGTTCTTTCTCTTTGCTGCGGATGATAATTATCATTACTTGTACTAATTCTGAAACCTATTCTCTGGTGTAACCGACTAATGTGCACAGACCTCCTAAACTACCCTCATATTTCTAAGTGGTTGTGAGATATTTTCAGCTGAAAATACATCACGACCATTGCTAACGTGTTCTTGGGGTACTTCGGTTTCTAATAATTGAGTATGTAAACTTAAAAATATACCTACAATAAAACGGCACAATTCATAAATCATAATTTTCTGCGAATTTATTAGAAACTAAAGTATTTACCATACTTCATTCGATTCGCTGATTACAAATAGTGTTTCTCTGATCTATAGTTAAATTAAGCAGTAAGTAGGTAGTCAGCAAAAAAAAAACAATGTATTCCATTTTAAAATTCATAAACGATAACGTTACATAGTATAAAGTAAACTAAACACATTAATCAAAAAAGTAATCTTGATATTTTTTGCTGATTGCTCTTCAATACGTATGAAGTGACAGAGCGTAGTGTAACTGACGCGTTTGCACGTTTACAGTACATTCTTACTACATAGAAGATGGTGAGTCTTACAGAAGCATCAGCTAGTATTTTGGCTTTATACCTTATTTGGATAAAAGCTGAAAATATCACCATGTCAAATGATAAGCTGATTGAGAACCTATTGATTTTGCTTAGCAGATTTATATTTATATTTACATAAACTCATGCGTTCGATACATCTATGCTTTGTCTTTCATCGCATACCACTAAATTAAGAATTTAAGTACTTAACCATGAATTATAATCGGCATCACAATTTCATACTTTCCAATTTCAGTCAGACGATTGAGAGATTTTACATCGCAAATCGGTTTCATAGTTTCGGTTCCATGTCTTTCGCTCTCTCTCTCTCTTTCTCTTGCACATTCTGGTTATTTTCTCTCTTCTGAGTTGAGTAGCAACAAAAGTATGAGGTTGTGGTGCGCATACTAGCCGTAAGGAGAGCGATCCTGGAGCAGCGAGAGCAGGTGAGTTTGCACGTACCTTTAAAGAGTGTCGCGACGCCTTACACCTGGGTTTTAAACTGGGATCTAGTTTCAGTATCAGGAAATAGAAGGTCTTAACAGCACTTTGACAGTGACTGTCACCAACTCAGACAGCTTGGATGAACTGGCGTACTTAATACTTGGCCTCAATCAAAATCTTACTACTTATCCTGACAGCCATGAAACAGATAAAAGAATATAATTTAGTTTCGTCTGTTACTTAGAGAGATTTTTGAAAAGGGGCTAGTTTATAGAGTTCTCCACTTTTGGAATTACTTAATAATTGGTTTTATCTTTGTATTTAACGGTTAATTCAAATGATTTCTCTCGGTTCGTATGATATGGCAGTAAGTGCATGTTCTGTATAGGCGTCGTAAGTTCAAGCTTTGGTTGTGTAGCAGTGGGCGTGTGGTGCTTACAGCTTCTTATACAGCGATTTATCTAAGTAAATGTATTATGCTTCTGCGTTATTTTATTTTTGTGTAAAACCAACAAAACCTATCTAATTGCACTATTATTATACTAACAATAATACTAACAGTAATATTATTAAAATTCAGGGACAGCTGAAATTTTATGTTATGGTCACTTATGGTCGTCTGATCTTATCATCACCATTAAATACATTATTTCATATTTTCTACATTTACAATCATATCTTTTTAAGATTACATTAAACACAACATTTTGTTTACATTACGTTACAGTAAAACGCTTAATTATGATTTTACATAATTACATTTTTAATTTGTTTATTATAAGTATTTAGTAATTTGAAATTTATTTTATGTTGCTGCTGTATTGTGAAATGTTTTTGCATGATTCTGACATTTGCATAAATACATGATGTTAGTGGAAATAATCTACTACTATTATCCACATAATAGTGATAGCTCAAAATTGGCATAATTATCGCTATTTTCCAATCTAAATGTTTCCAATTTACCATTGTGGACATTTCTTGCAAATAAAGATTAAAGATGGTAATAATTTGAGACGGTTTTAAACACTATTGATTTTATGAATGACTTAAGTCATAGTTGGTCATAGTTTTAAGGATAATATATTATTTTACCGGTAAAATTTCTTCATCAACTCTTGTAATCGACTGAATTATTTATGCATTTGTCAGTGATGTCGTGAGGTCAGAATCAGGCAGTTTCTGTTATTATCACAGATCTATTTTAGAAGTATGATTCTGGCCACACATGTGTTAATGTGTGAGAACAATGTTCTACTTTCAAGAGCTATGGGTACATAAAAATATATTTTTCAAAGTTACAATCAAAGATTCTTATTTTTTTTGTGATATTAATAAACTTATTTTTTTAACTTGTGGAACCCGAAGTGGTTGCATGAGACCACGGTAACAATCGATTTCTATTATTGTGTCTCGATTCGCTGATACTTGAAGGGCAAAATTATTTGATTATGCTAATCACATAGGCAATTTTAAACATCTTGAACCGCATTGATTGACATTTTCGTTACAAACCTGGCAAAATGATGGCACAGCCTATGCAAGATCAGTACGCCATAGCTCGTGAAGTAGCGTTGTGAGCACGTAGTGTAGCGGAGTTGTGTGTAGCGTCGCACGCGGCGCCGCGGCCCGGCTACTCGCTGCGCTCCAGCACGCTGCCGGCCGGCGTGGGCCACTCGCACCACAACGTGAGTTATGCGCGCACCGCCGGCACCCTGCCGTACTCGGCGCGACAGGTAACTGGGAAGGGCGTGTGTTGACGTGTGCTGGCTGATAGTTTTGAGGCTTGGATCTGAGCGTGTTTACTGTTTTACATGAGCTATGGTAGGAACATGTCAACTGTGCGTTTTGTCCCATATAACCTTAGTAATAATTAGTCGCTAAGTTTAGCTTTTAACGATAAAGAAACGTAATCGTCCAATACTATAGCACACGGTCATGAACTACCAATAATATGTATTAAAGTTGTCGACAATAATCGAACTTTAAAATAGTTGCTGTTGCTGAAAAATTTAAAATAGCTTTTCGTCACGACTGTTGAAGTATTCGCCGATTGCGTTTCGCGTAGGTGTAAGTTAGCGTAAGGCTAGGGCAGTAGGGCCGGCTAGGCTAGGCGGTAGACGCTAGCGCTAGGCGTGAGGCGTGTGGTACAAGGCTGGTGTTGCAGTGGTGTCGTCGCTGCGGTCGGCGCCGCGGCCGGGCTACGGGCTGGCCAACCGCTCGCACACCTTCTCTTCAAGCACCGCGGTAAGTGCCGCACTTAGCTTTCACATCCGAGAGTGGCCAAGGATTTCATTGCAATGAGGGCTATCAGTTTAGCACTCACCACTTGGCAACGCTGTAGAGTGAGGTCACTGATGCTTGGGGTAAAAACAATTCGTGAGCGCTGGACCGGTAGGACTTTCACATTTGCAGTTGCACTCACCAGGATGGCGCCACTGTAGAGTAGTCATATCAATTGCCATTGATGCCAACTCAAACGATAGCCCTCATACGTAATTGATGGACACCTAGTTACTATAATTACCTTTATTTACCAACTCACACAACTTAAATTTTTTTTTTATCAAATTGCTGTTAAATAAGATTTTTGGTAGCTTTGAAATCATTAAAAAAGTTAGTCGAGTTGGAAAACCAGTATTTCCGTGGTCATACAAAATCTATAGGAAAAGAATAGTATTTCAACAGCTTTTAAGGTGATGCCTTGCGAATATTGGGCGTTTTAAAGAAGCGCAGAATTAGTTTTAATCGTACTTTTCTTATTACTTATGTTCTTATTTTGAAATATGTCATAGTTGACTAATAAATCTAGTGTCTGGTCGAAGCCGAAACATGAATGGAAACAATTTTCTCGATAGAAAAAAATCCAAAGATGACCCTTCTATTACTCGGTTTTTCGTTTCATAAGCAGATAGGCTAATATTTCAATACCAAATTTTGTATATTGGTAAGGTAATAACATATTCTAAGTACTGGTCGAGTTATTTTCTTTAAATAGTGTTTGGTTTTTCAATAAATACATGATTTCCGATTTATGTCGCTTACGTTATTTTATTCCGCGCCGCGCGCGCTATTGCTGTCCCTTTCCTCGCACTGAGAAATCATATTTCTATCCCTCTGTGTGCGAGGCATTCAGTCGGCCGAAAACTTTTACGAGGTAGCGCCTTAAGTCATGACATTTATTTTATTTGGCTTAATGTAAATTAAGTAAGCTATGTATAAGCTAGCATAGACCAGTAAAACGGAATAATAAATTGTGATGTTAAAGAACTAAGATTTTAGACCATTAAAGCCACACGAATGCGGTAAGCAGGACATTTAGTAGTTAATTTCTTGGATAACTTGGCCATTCTGTAACGTTTTTATTTACTTTTAATAAGTGTACATTTATGTTTATGTTAAGTTACTCTTAATTTATAATTTAATTTGGTATAGCTGCTGCTACGATTGAAGGTATTGTATGAATTCCTCGTGAAAGTAGACTGTTGTTTATAATAGTTGCCTCGTGTGTGTGCAGGGAGACTTCACGTTCAGCGGCATGGGCGACAAGACGCATAGCACCGACTTTAGCAGCGGCAAGTCTGACAGTGAGTGTCTGCCCTTATTTATTTCGTGTGTTTACGATCAAATTAATTTTATTATTGTTACATCCCAACTAATATACACTATAAAATTCAAGTTCTCCTTACTCACCAAGTTAAAATCATAATTTGTGTATTTTTATAAGGTTTACTATTGTGTTATGTGTTCCACCATTAATATCTATTAGGTCGACTAAAGTATACTCAACTGCGTATATATTTTTCATATGAATAGGTATCCATAACACAGAGATCCAGCTGTAAATGTAGTAGGTATAAAGACGTGATTGATGTTTTGTATAGGAAATATCCCATAATCACAATTGTATTCACCAGTTAAAAGTTTTTTAGGGGCTAAATAAAATACCTTCATCAAATTAAAATCAAAATGTCTTTGAAAAGCAGAATATTAGAGCAGTTCCTATTTATTGTAATGTGTACATATAAGAAATGTACGTTGGTATTGTTGGTTGTTGTGCGCGCAGTGCGGACGGACCTGTGCAGTAAGTAGCCGCTTCGCTTGTGCCGCGCCGTGCGAGCGGGACAGCCGCCGTACGTGCGAACCGGACAGACGCCGCACGTGCGAGCGAGACACGCCGTACGTGCGAGCGAAACACGCCGTACGTGCGAGCGAGACAGTCGCCGTACGTGCGAGCGAGACAGTCGCCGTACGTGCGAGCGAGACGGTAGCCCCACCGCTCGCCTCGCCCGTCCACGCCACTCACGCGCTTACATACGTGGCATAATATTATCCAATCGCTATACGACACATTTACTATCATTTTGAGGATATCCAAGCTTACGAATTATTATTGTCGTTAGATTTAGGTATATTTAGTACATTTTTAGGCATCAACACCCAGCAACATGAAATAATCATTGCGTCTTCATATTGCACACGCCTTTAGTATACATGTTTATTGTTTATAAATGTATTTTATTTAAATAATAAACAAAACAACCCAATATTTGTCATCTTCTTCTATATATANAATTTTATCCCGTACAAAATGTTCATGGATTTTGTTATTTTTATTAAATACCTTTACGCCTGAGTTAAATGACACCGACATCAAGGTTCATCAATTTAAGTTTAAAATAATAGGCAGTAATGTGTGAAGAAAGAGCTTCTATTTTGTATCTACCTATGCCCGTGTATTTTTGATCGGTGTCAAATCGGAGTTTTTGGTGCGGGGTACGCGGGTGTTGCTCGCGGCGTGAAGGTCAAACGCCCAAGGTCATTGAGGACTCTAATCGCCTTAAAAACACAACGCGCGCGACACTCGCGACGGATGGACTGCGAGGTTCGCTTAGAGCTCGTGTAAAGCGTGCGTCTGTGTGCGTGAGTCTGATTTCGAGCGTTTGTATGAAGCTTCCGTACTGTTTGATTTATCTACTGTGGTAGAGGTGCACTAAGAAAGGAATTCCCGAAATTCCCACGGGAACGGGAATTAGCGTAAAAATTCTTTTGTATGAAAAATCTAAACCGCTTAAGTTAGAATCTTGAAATTTGGTGTGCAGGTACCTTAGTAAACTTAAAGCTTAGGTACAACAGGATAATGCAAAATTCCCACGGAAACGAGAATTAGCGGGAAAAAACATTTGTATGAAAAAATCTAAACCGATTAAGATAGACCCTTGAAATTTGGCATGCAGGTACCTTAATAATAATTGTAGTGTATAGACATTTGTCTCGAGCGCATACGTCACAGCCCAGTCAGCGGTGGGGGCATTCGGCGTCCGACCGTGGTGCGGGCAGGTCGTGCTGTGTGCGTAGGCGAGCCAAATAATAATCTAATGGCGGAGATAAAGGTGTACAATACAATGGCGACGAGGATTAAAAAGGAGTGTATAAAAAAAAAAAAAAGAAGTGAGTAGGTACACGTATAAGTTAAAGTTATAAATTAACTCACGGAACATTATTAATTTCAAACAAAGTATCTATTTTGATTGTGCTTAAATATGAAGTGTTTACTTTATTTTTTCTCAACCACCAAAGTGTAAATGTGTGAAGAGTGATATTCCCGTTGTAATAATAAAGATAAGTGATGGTGTTTTTAAAATTAATTTATCGATCGGAAATAACGAAAATACTTTTTGTTGTGTGTGTGTTTTGCAGTAAAACGATTCTTAATATTTTACGTTAGTAACATGTACCTACATTAAGAAGTGGCTAATATAACACACTCACGAAAATAAGCGGAAAAGTAATAATCAGTAANAAATTCCCACGGGAACGGGAAATAACGAGAAAATCCTTTTGTGTGAAAAATCTAAACCGCTAAAGTTAGACGCTTGAAATTTGGCATGCAGGTACCTTAGTAAACTTAAAGCGTAGTTACAATAGGATATTGAAAAATTCCCACGGGAACGGGAGTGAGCGGGAAAAAACATTTGTATGAAAAAATCTTCACCACGTAAGATAGACGATTGAAATTTAGCATGCAGGTACCTTAGTAAACTTAAAGCTAAGTGAAATTCCCACGGGAACGGGAATTAGCGGGAAAATCCTTTTGTATGAAAAATCTAAACCACTTAAGTTAGACGCTTGAAATTTGGCATGCAGGTACCTTAGTATTTAGCATGCAGGTACCTTAGTATTTGGTATGCAGGTACCTTAGTAAACCTAAAGCTTAGTTACAACAGGATATTGCAAAATTCCCACGGGATCGAGAGTTAGCGGGAAAAAACATTTGTATGAAAAAATCTAAACCGCGTAAGATAGATGTAGGGGGTAAAACGAGATCCGCGTACGAAGTCGCGGGCGGCCGCTAGTATGTCTATATTACTCTATGGTAAATTATTTGTGCCGTCTCATAGCATGACTGCTTAGCTTCGTAAATTCGTATTTAACGGTATTTTTTTCATTGAATAATTTATTTTTAAGGTAAATTACATTGTTTCATTAACTTTTAAAGGTCTATTAAGTACTTAATTCTCTAAAAACTTTTTATTTTTCAATAGTTTTCGTATTTTTATATAAAGTATTAGTACCTACATATTACATTTGAAACGTTTCTACATATCATACAGCAGAAGTATCAATCATAAGCGAGTACACTATAATAATAATCTAATGTATCAATATGTTTTTATTTCAGTATCTGCCGGCTCCATTACTGACGTAGACAGGAGTGCTGTGGTGAGTCAACAATTATTTTAAACATAGCATAGTAATATAATAGTCCTCAAGTTTATTTATGATCCGATTTACAAAAGAGATGTGATATTATTCAGTCATTACTCCGACTTAGTTTTCTAAAGAATAATGTTTTAATCCAGAATGAGATCAATTCTAAAAGATCTCTTCTTTTCCATCAAAATGTTTTTCGATGACATGAAAATGCATCGTGTGTAAAAAGCGGAACATCATAATAATATCTACTGCAAGGGCAACTGCAGGGTGCAGGGCAAGAATTGCTATACATAATATAAATAATCGTGGACTGTAACCTTTGGTGGTAAATATATTATGCTAGCAGGTCCCCCACTAGGTGGAACGAAGATCAGGTGAAGATTGCGGGAGGTGTCTGTATGCAGGCGTTGAAGGGCCGGTTGTTGTGGAAATCCTTGGGGGAGGCCTTTGTCCAGCAGTGGACGTTATTTGGCTGAAACGATATTTTGCTAAAAGAAGTATAAAGGAAAAAACAGCATTCTTGTTTCTTTATCGTTCGTTAGTTTAAGTCAAATGACGTCCACTGCTGGACAAAGGCCTCCCCCAAGGATTTTTATAACGACCGGTCTTGCACTGCCCGCATCCAGGCTCTTCCCGCTTCTTTATATCGCATAATATTCGCACATACGGTACAATAACGTCACTTCTGCAATTTTTGTCAAATGTAACGGCCAATCACAGCGAGCCTGCCAGCGCCAGCCAATGGGAAGCGTTCCCGCCAATGCCAAGCCTCTCCCCACCCAACCACGTGCCATGCCTGTCAGCCGAGCGAACTTTTGGTGGGGGGCAAGCCTTTATAATGTCGTGCGAGCTCATTTTGATTATTATTTTGTACTGATCACTTGCTAAGCAGAAACTCTGTTCGTTTGAAAAATAAAATACCTATTCATCAAGACTACTTTTTATTTATGCCACTTTACACAAAATTGAACTGAGTATGAGGAATTTTTTTTATAGTAATTAGTAAGATGTTTGGTTTTATCTTTACTTTCGTTATTTGTTTAGTCGAGGAGAACTGTACCGGCCATAGGATGTTGAATTTTCAAATGCAGAAAAATTACACCATTTGCATAAATGACGTTATTGTACCGTATGTGCAATATTTTCCACTAGACCCACAGTACTAACCTACAGTCCATTCAGGTACGCCTTATTAACATTGGTCAGTAGCGTTGAGTATCGTGTGTGTATAACGTGCCGTGGTGTGGTGGTGACAGTCGCCCGTGCTCCGCCCGCAGACGACGGACGGGCCGGCGGCGCGCGGCGGCAGCGCGCTGGGCGTGGCCCGCGGCGGCGGCGTGCGGCGCTCGCTGCCCAACATGGCCACCAGCCACCTGCTGCACGAGCCCGCCAAGCTCTACCCCTACCACCTGCTGCTCATCACCAACTACCGCCTGCCGCCCGACGTCGACCGCCTCAACCTCGAGGTACGCGTATACCTACCCGCGTCAATAGGCTAGATGACAAAATTTCAATTATTTGTCCGTCAGGCAGATAATTAGAAAATATTAGACTCATATTTTTTTATTTTCTTTCATAATTAAATAATAACAGTGCTATATCGAGTTAAAATGGCGCGTTACGTCACGCTTGAGTAGATTTTTTACTCATAAGTGACGTCACGCGACATTTCAACTCAATATAATACTGTAATTATTCTATTATATGCGTGGAAAATATGTGTCCAAATTTTTTTTTTATTATCTGTCTGACAGACTAAATAGAATTTCGATTTCATTACCCAATCATCATCCCTATTATTAGATCGTGTCATCCACTAAGACGCGCCTCACCATTCTTCCGTTAATGTTATCGGATAACGGTACACGCTAAATTATCCATGTATGCACACGCACACTACAATAATGACGCTCGGATTGCTCGGATCTAACTTCCCGCACCCCGCGCGACCGAGACCAAAAATTGGTGGGGCGCGTCTTCGTGGATGAAACGATCTATAGTTCTATACCCACACATTACACACATGATTTGGAAAAACTTTTGAAGATTATTTTCTTATTAGGTTGCACCCGCAACCAAACACATACAACTCGTGGGTATGAACTGCTACACTCACAGAACCAGTTGCACACAATGGGAGTAAAATCATCTTCAAGGATTTTTCCAAATCATGACGCTTGCTAGAATTTCAGTTCAAATAATTCTTCTTAAATTTTTATGGAACCTTCGAGGGTTAGAATAGTAAAATGATTACTATTGAATTAATGCAATGATAGTGAAGTGAGCTGAAGTGGCAATGGGCAGGGCACATAGTACGCAGAACTGACTACCGATGGGACAGTAAGGTTCTGGAGTGGAGCGTGGACCGGAAAGCGCAGCGTAAGACGTCCACCCACAAGGTGGACCGACGTCCTCATAAAGGCGCTGGATGCAGGCCGCTACCAACCAGTCATTTTGGAAGTCATTGGGGGAGGCCTATGTTCAGCAGTGGCCGTACTATGGCTGAAATGATCATGATGATTAAATTAATTACTTTTAGCGAGTGTGTATTTAATTTAAACAAACTCGTTTCATGTTACAGAGGCATCTATCGGACGCGGAATTCGAGGCGATCCTCCAGATCGGGCGCCAGGACTTCTACCGCCTGCCGCAGTGGCGCCGCAACGAGCTTAAGCGCCGCGCGCGCCTGTTCTAGGCGCACCACTCGGGCCAGCCGGAAGGACAACACGCCGCTCTTTATCTTATGTTACTGCGCGCTAAAGCCGCTCCGGCTGTCTTTGTCATCGTGAAAAATTTAATTTAACAGTTCGCTGATTTAGGCCACAAATTTTGTGCAATAATCATTAATTTTCCTAAATTGAAACACGATTTCAAATTTTTCACATGCTGGAGAACCCGGGCATAAACATTTTTTAAATATTATCCGCCTGAATGGTACAGTGCTTCCGGCGCCGATGGCAGTTCTCGGTTGGTCCTTCGAGCCGGATCTCCGTCTTACGACGAGTCGATTGCAGAAATCGTTTGACTAGGTGAACGAATAGATAAATTTTCTTGGCTTGTGTCGCAATGTTTGAATTGAGAAAATGGCGATTTACCATAAAATAAGTTAAAAACCGGTTTTAGTTATTGACGTGTTATTCTTATGGTTCAGATGCGATTGCCCCGGCAATGCCACGGTACTGACGTTGATAAATACGAGACGATTTGTTCGACGCTCCGGTGCCCGGGCCGGGCTCGCCGCGTACGTAGCGTATGCGCTGAGGTTCGCATAATTTTACAATTTTACCGTTATTTTATTTAATTAATATGTAACTTTAGAGAGCAGCTAAACGCTGCTACCTTTTATAAATACGACTTCTTTTTATTTTATTTAAATAATATAGTGATGATATTATAATAACTATTACACATAATAATATATTTAAATTAAATTAGGGTATATGCGGTGTGATTTGACGGTAATGCGTGAAGTTCATAGAACTTGCTCTGTCATATTTAGTTGGTGGCGGTGTCGTCCGCCGCCTTGTTGCTTGCAGGTTTAGCTTGTGTTCCCAAACTGGCTTCTTTTCTTCCCACAGTAGCTTCTTTTCTTCCCAAAATTTTTCTGAATGAGGCACCTACTTACTGGCCACACCGTCGTGTGGTATAAATGATACCTATGATGTAAATTAAAGAGGAAACAAGGCGGCAGATTACACCGCTTTAGTAGAAGGCGCGGTCCACACTTACGTTTCGCGGTACGGACATGTCGTTACCGGTCGTGACGTGCACACTTGTCAAACTACAACACTTGCATATTTTATGGTGCGCAAGTGTCAGGGTGTCTAGGATACGACTAACCTTAGATTGTTCACTTACCCATTGTTACTTTACCTGCCTTGTCCTTGCCGCGTCCCGTGTGGCCGCGGGTGGAAGCCTTCGTTCGCGTGACGCCGTCACAAGTTAGTGAGAACCAAATATATTACGATATGTAAGAGATGTTATTTTGCGTTAGAGTAAGTGGCGAGCGCGCGCGCAAGCGGGGCGAAGGCGCCCGAGTGATCGGAAGCGGTCCAGCAAAGATATTTATTTCGTCTCAAAGAAAAAAATTGGAGTTAAAGGCTACTCAGTGAGCAGTAAAGAGAAATGCCCTGATGTTTCTGGTTATCAATCTGTTTTATAGTTTCGCAAGATTTTCGTTGTTTTGTATAAGGCTGATTTGATGAATGGCGGTGCTCTTGGACTGACCTTCGCCTGTGACCCCGCTTGCGCGCGCGCAGGAACATTGCCCCGCGAGTGCTGACCGCCCGACCAGACCCTGCACTTGCACTTCTAGTAGTTTATACGTTCGAAAGGTGCTAGGTATCGGTAAGGAATGCAAGCGAGACGAATCGACCGCGACCGTAGACACGATTGCTTTACTTACGTTTCTTACAACACTTTAGGCTACGTCAGTGTACACGTGAATGTTCCTAAACTATGCTAGTGTGTGTGTTGCGTGTGAGTGTTGACGCGAGTGCGTCGCCCGTCGTTGTTTTTAATTTTATTATAGGCAGATATTATTTTGGTTGCAATATAGATTGATATAAAGCATTGAAGCGTTTCATTCGGCGTTCGGACGGCTTATAAGCGATATATGTATAGTCGTAAGGTTATTTGTAAGGTTAGATAGCTTACAAACAATTGAGATGCCTAACTCGTTACCATTAGTGAAGTCGCGAAGTACACTTTAATCCCGACATCTCGGTCGTCTTTTTTACTCACTGCGCTTTTGCTTTTGGAGAAAAGAGACGACCGACTTCTCTGTCCTCGTCGTAAACATTGTCATCAACTGGATCGACATATCTTTATCTACCATTTGTACGAAATGTTAATCTGACAGCGAAGTAACTTTATACAGATATTATGTTCAATTATATTTAAGTGTTTAAATGTGTATCAAAATATTTAACATGAAATTAGCATCAGAAGATTAAGAGTTTTCGTTATAGTGTAACTTTTCTAACAGCTTAGAAAGTTTTGTATACATTGTACATTTCAGAACTTTTCGCTTGTTCGTTAGAGATGCGTTTATTGAGGTTACAGCCGTAGTCGCTTAATAATAAATCTTTATACTTGGATACATCAAAATATTTGCTGTTATGGTTCATCATTAGTATCACATTACATAATTATGTTAAATGTGTGTGAGTTTGGGTTGATCGTAGGAAGACTTGCTTTTCAATGACGTGACAGACGGATGGGCACTTGGGGACACTGATAACGAGTCAATCAAAAAATATTTATATCAATTCCAAATCGTATCGTATTGTATGTTATTTTAAACAAATAAATCAAAATTACAAACAAACGCAATAAAGTTTAAAATCTTATATTAAACGCAATAAAAGTTCTCAAAGAACAAAATCCTCTTTTTAGGAAATAAGTGGCTTGAAGAATTAGTCCAACTGTTTTACTATAAGTAAATATAAATTTCGCTAAATGTCTCTGGCTAGTCTTGAAGCCTTGGTCAATGTGTACTAAATTATTTGTGTGTCTATGAACCAGTTAAAACGATTGGACTTCAGTTTCCCGCCCATTGTCTGTAGTTGAGGGCCCGATGAGGTGGACTACTGCCGACAGCCGCGTGATAGTCGACGTCGCTTTCGATGTTTCGGAATGTGTGCGAGTGATCTAAATTATTTATATTGTATGTACTATGTAGATGTATATAGAGTTTATTTTGTAATATCCCGATATGTATGTACGACAGAGAATATATCTGGTGGCGTGTGCGCCGGCGTTCACTTCACAGTGCAGCGTTGCCCGTCTCGACAGAACTGCACACACTTCAACTGATTACTACACCATCCCTATTGAAATCTCGTAAAAGCTGTTGATATCTCTATGATAAGAAATTCATATTACATCTGTAGGTATTCAACAGAATTGCTGTCAAAACGGGTCACGCTGTACATTATAATTTATAATTAGTAATGTAAATTACATAATATTATGGCAATTTGAGAGTCGAGTGAAAGGAATTATATCAGTGATTTTTAAAGTGAAGACTATGCTTTTGAAGTAATAAAACCTGCATTTCAAATTAAATTTGTCTTTATTTTAACTATTTTTAAACACTTTATACTTAATTAATAGACTGCGCAACGCGCTGTTTAATACTTCCTCTTTGACTACTGCAGTAATTAACGTTTCAATTTGTCTATGCAAAATTGTAATTGGCTACAAATAAAGTTTTATTTTATTTTTATTTACTTAGGTTTAACATTCAATACAATTGTGACTATGTCTTGAAACAAAACCTCGACTTAAACACATATAATATGTATTTCTAAAAATTATATCATCTACTTTAGGATTTAGTGCAAGCGAGACGCGCGTTCACGTTGATTTTGATTACGACCACATCTGTTCCGAGTTGTACAAGCACATGCCTTGAGTTATGCTGAACTTTTTGTAGAAATCTGAAAATTATAAATAAACAGGTTTTAGCCCGTATGATTATCCTGAGGGTTTTCGCGAATGAAAGATCCGCTAGACGGCGGGACGTGGATGTGGGGTCTGACTGCTGCGTGATTGGTGGATTTTGACATATCTGTCAATGTCATGTCAAAAATAACCAATCATGCAGCATTTGGACCTCGCGTCTACGTATTTCCATCTAGCGGATTTTTCATTCTCGAAAACCCTAATTAAGTAATAACATAATACAATAGCAAGTATAGGCGTGTACTCACTGTCCTGGTCGCCGAGCCACTCGGCGCAGAACTCGCGCATGATGCTGCAGATGCTGGCGTACCAGTACCAGTACGTGCAGATCTTGTCCGGCCTGCGGAGTGCGCCGAGATAATATGTAACGTGCAGCAAGATAACTTTATAGCCACGATAGCCGAACGGTGAAGGGGTCGGACTGGCCGACTCGAGATCCGAGCAACGCGGGTTCGAATCCCACCGCCGCTCGACTATTGTGGTGAGCCCACTCGCAACACAAGCTTATTTAGCTTAACACGAGGGGCTAACGGGACTATTAGTAATTTGGGCAATACAAATAGCTAATAATCTTAAAAAAGAACTGACTTGTTCAGCTTGAGGATTCGAGGGGTGTTTACTGATGTCTTTACAGCAAGAAAATAGCAGTCTACAAAAAAAACATTTTAATCGTGTTTCTTCATTTTTATCTCTATTAAAACCACGAACCGGAAAACGGACGGCGCAGGACCAGTCGTTGTGGATTTCACAAATAATTTTGATTTGATTTAGATTTTTTTTTATTGAAAAATGTATTCACTTGACGGCTTCCCAGCAGTTGAGCATGTCGACGACGCACTCGGTGGCGTTGTAGCTGCCGCGGTTCACCATGTCGAACGTCATGTTCTGGAACGTCTTGGACGGGTCCTCGAACAGCTGAGCGCGCGTGGACGCTGCCCGACAACGTTTGCAATTATAATTTTGTTGGTTTAAAGTAAATTGAGCACATAATATTATGTATTAAATATTAATTGTAAAAATCAAACATGTAGAGTAATTCCAATTTACACTACTTACAATATACCACAAATCCAACAATACCTATAAAAAATATAACCGACTTCATTTTCGTGCAGTCGCATGTAGAAACTAATCCAAATCACAGTTATTACTCTCACTATAAGTAATTAGTAAAGAACGTTAATGATGATTGGAAGGTTTGATTCGTCACACTAATTATCTTTTGAATATGAGGGTCAATCAAGTAGTAGACAGACATGTCCCCCACAAATGCTTAATTAAATAATAAAGGATACATGGTCGAACCAGTTAAGTACCTAAAATATACAAGTACAACCTTAAGTTACTCTATGGCACGTCCCACAAGTGGTTGTAATGTTGAAAGGCCTTCGTCGCACCGGCATTTTATAAGGAGTTTCTTCATTCCGTGAAGAGATTAGGGATTCAATTTTCGGTGCGAACAAAAAGTGCCACTTGTGCAGTGCACCACAGGCTTTGTGCAGATTAGTAAACCGCTGATGTATGCAAGGTAAGTGGTTAGTATGAGCTATGTATGTAACTGTACAAGTATTACAGGATAGATAAAATTATGCTCATAATTAATTTATTTTTAAATCGTTTTAATTAATTTAGCGCCTTTTTCTTCAGCGATCGTAAGTCGTAAGAATCCCGCCCTAATGATTACACTTTTTTTATTGTTTTAAGAAGCAAAGAAACAAGTGCGTAGAGCCTATCAATCGATTTTTATATTAACCAACTCTATGTAGATATGAGATGACCTATACTAAACCGTCCCAGCCTAAGAGGGCGCTACTATCAGTACTGGATTCTGTTTCGATTATTGCCACATTTGACAACCTTTTTTCGTTGCCAAAATATAGATGACCCACGCTGAACTGTCCCACCAAACTCAATGACAGGGGGGCGCTACCATCGTTCAACTATATGGTTTCCAACATGGCAAAAATCGGAACCAGCGATCCGGTATTGACGGTGGCGCCCCACTGTCAATGTCATCGATAGGACAGTCCAGTATTTTAGAACTATAAAAGAAGAATTTTATCTTTAGCTTCATGGGACAACCAAATAATATGATGATGGGTATTTCGCCGAAACAGTAAATTTTCTGTGTCCAGGCAGGCGAACACATGTTTTTTTATATCTATCTGTATAAAACTATTTTTATGGGAAAGTTCATCAAAAGTTTTATTTGTTTTCGCTATTACAACAGCAGAAACTGCAAATAATACCGTAGAAAAACTTAATCAAAAGTCGTTTTTCTAATTTCCTTGTCATGTCCATTACTGTTGTTTGCCAAAATGAAGGCTCATTATAACAAATTGAAGCGTAATTTAATTCTAATAGCACTCTCTTTACATTTGAGAAACGTTTGGCTATCGGAAAATAAAAACTTTAAATGTCAAATACTTATAGGAAGAAAATAAAGTGAAGTTAAGTTCTTGTCCAGGTCAAAAGTATAATTTCCCTGGGTCTTCGTTTCGACCATTGTTGTAACGAAACGAAAAAACTTAGAATGGAACGCACTGCACCACTACACTCGGCCATTTCGTCCCAAGAGGCCATTGAGGCAGGATAGCACGTCGTTGATCAGTTTTGCGACAAATCGCATAAATAGGTCCCTCCTTGGGTTTTTGTTTACTAAAAAGTCAATTTCTTTGGACGGTTTTTTGCAACCAAACAATGGATTAATTTTATTGTTTATTTACACAAATGTAGTGTCTGTAGGGGTAAACCCATGATTTAAATAGTAAATGTATAGGGTAAATAGGTTTTTGTCTGTGGTGTCTTTTAGGCATAAATCTAATTTCTTTGGTCCTAATTTCCTTGTTTTCCGTGGCATAAAATGACCTAGGAAATTATAAAAGACCATTAATAATTCGGCGTAAAGTCAAATTTTGAGTATTTCTTTATTGGAATAAGTTTAAAATTTACATTTTAAGAAATAGGTATCAGAATAGATATAGAAAAACTTGTTTTTAACTTTTAACTCAATCTACTGCATTTATCTTCCTTAGTTGTGTAAAAAGGTCGTAATGATATAATATTCATTGGCATGTTTGCTTGCGAAAGTACACAAAAATAGGTCGAAAAAAAAAAAAGCAAACCACAGAAGAAAACTTAGAGAAAAAAATATTTATAATAATTTCCTTGGCTACCAAAAATTTATGACCTCATAACTTTGTTTCTAAAACGAATTATGACACCCCTTCTAGATATATTAGCTTAGTTTTTACTACTTAATGCAATGGGAAACTAAAAATAGTTAAAAACAAAAATAAAATTAGTGCCAAGGAAATTAAGCAAAATTGACCATTTTTGGCGAAATACCCTGATATTACCAGAGGGCGCTAATATCACCACTGGGGTCTTAGCCACTAGTTTTTCATTTAAGCCATTTGACGTTTCAGAATCGTTAGACCATTAGACAATAGATTAGTTCCTGTTTTTGCCACTTGATATTTCAGAAACGTTGGATTGGACGTTTGTGAATATAAGTGAAAATGAAATTGATTTCATAATCGATTTTTCTATCACATTTTCAGTAATAACATCACTATGATGACAGATAATAACAGTGACTTCTTTGCTATATTATCTGTGTCTATCTTATAAGTGAAAATGAAATTGATTTCATAATCGATTTTTCTATCACATTTTCAGTAATAACATCACTATGATGACAGATAATAACAGTGACTTCTTTGCTATATTATCTGTGTCTATCTAAAAAAAAACAATTTCAGACTGACATTTGTCGCGCGTGCTTGTAGTCGCGCTGGAATCAATTTTGATTGTTCTAAATTTCGAATTGTGACGAAAATAGTGTTTAGTGAAAATGATATTGCTAATTCGGTAAAAAAGGCGAAACTCCTATAATTTAATATAATCAGTGTTTATTTTGTGCTAAGTGTCAGTATTCAGTGAGTATTATGAACTTTGAGGACTATGAAACCCTTCCGACCAGTCAAAACTTCACCACACACATGACTGCCGGAGCAATTGCGGGGGTGATGGAGCATTGCATAATGTATCCCCTCGACTCCGTCAAGGTAAGCGGCCCGGGCCTCGACTGCGAGCGAACATCCCGACCTAACCTCTTTCAGTGACAGCTCCATCGGCTGGCCTATTACGCCACCAATTTGTGACCCGAGATTATGTAAAACCATTCATCTCACCATGCTTCACTTTTTACCTACATACCATGATAATACTTCCTGTCTAACTTAACATGTTTGCTTTCTATTCTATTATGTCCCTATAAAATTTTAATCGTAAATAATATGTCTGTATCTGTTATTGCCGAACAATCTATATCTTCTTACTTCATTTAAGGATAACAAAACACAAATGAGAAATCCACTTAGATATACTCAAAAGATTTTAAATTAATATCAGTTTTGACAGTCTAGGCAATGACTTACTAACTTGGAGCTTCTGATTTTGTAGCAGTAGGTACAGTATGTTCAATTAAAGTGATCATTATGTCCAATGATAAGAAGTTAACATTTAACTATGTTGCAAATTTGTATACATAACCTCAATCTCATGCTTGTTTACATCCATGGCCCCATGACCTTGACAGCTTGCCTCAGTATTTTACCATAATTAGAATTCACAAAAGGTTTTAAAATTAACAAGGGACCACATTATATCTACATTGGTCTATGCAACTTGTCTGTTACTTTAATGGGTAAATAAAATTCTACTTTTAAATAAAAAAAACACAATGAATCATAAATAACCTTACCTGTTCTTGTTTAAATATAAATGTAATCCATTTGACTGTTCAATTAAACATCTAAAATCATAACATTATATCATAAAATAAACTATCAAGTGAAGTGGGAGGTTCCCAATTAAAGGATTTATTTGTTAACTTGTGATCTTTGTTGTTCACTTCTACTTGTCATTACAGATCCTGTGTTATCTGGTTTAATATCCTACTTCATAAAATAAAATTAAAGTTCACTATGTTATGCATAGTGTAATTTTGTTAAAAACAAATTACCTACTATTTGAAAAATAAATCATGTACCTAGTTTTATGTACATAACTCCTTTGAAAGCTTTATTAATTTTTATAAGATTTTATACTTAATTATTTGTTTTGTATCATTTTAATAGTTTTTTTTTCAAATGAAAGTAATATTTAAACTCCTCTAAAAACATATTGAGTTACAATGATAACTCAGTTTATTTGTTTCCTTGACTGGGCTTAAAATATTTTAAATAAATAGTCGTCGTCAAATTAAAAGAAGAAGAAGAAGAGGTTAAACAATGTATTGCTGTAGGGTGTAAAAAGAAAATGTTATTACATACATAGTTTGCATACTGTAATAATAATAATAAAATGTTTATTGCCAATAAATAATAATACTGAGTATTCTTATAACTAGCGGCTTCTGCACTAAGCATAGCTTGCGCCGCTGTATTTTTTTTAACTTTTTACAAATTAATGTCTTTAATCTGGGGTCTGGGAACACGAACTTGCTAAAATATTCCATCTAAGGTATTCTATGCTGGTATTCAGGCCGCTACCAATCTATCAATATGTAGTATTTATTTATTTTTGGTACAGCAACAGAATACAAATCTTATGTTTAAAACAAATACATTGTATCTTAATAAATCTATGTTACATACTGTGCTTTTATTTTTTAGGGATAGTACTACACAGCACAATATCAATTTAGGTTACAATATGTTTTTGTAAGTTGAAGCTATTATTCAAGTTAAATTCCAATTTATTGATTGATTGCTGGACTTATATACAACGTGTCCCAAAATTCAACGATAAGCCGGCGCCACAGGGCGGAAATAGTCATGGGTACTTTAGGAAAAATAAGAAAAAAAATCTGTCTCAATTATTTTTTAAGTTACACAATAAATAATGAAATTCGTCGAAAATTGACACCCTTTATATTACATTATTACTTGATATTTTACATTACCACGGCCACAATTTTTCAAATACTTCTGTTTTTTTGTTTGTATCGGCAACCTAAGTAGTGCTGCTGTCCACCCCAATCCTTAAAATCCCCAGAATCCTTGCAATTTTTACACAAAAGTTAATCAAAATATATTTCTTTAAAATTTTGAACGATTTTTACTTTCACTCAACTTTGACTCGTCGTTTTGTAAAAAAAAAAAGTATGAACACTACTGCGGCAAGTTTTTTATAAAGTTGACCCAACTATCCAAGATTCCAAAATGGTATAATACTCTAAGAAAACTAGTCGCAAAAAAGATATGCGTACCATTTTTACAAGCACTTCGCTTGTTAGTTAGTATGGGATAAATCTTGCAACTGAATTTAAAACCAGTTCTCCTCAACTAAATGAGCTGAAATTTGGTATAGGGTCATTCCATGACAAATGTTACCGAGGGTGAAAAACTAAATATGTTCTTTTCGCATTAAATGTTATGAATTTAGAAAGTAAACATTCCAAATTATAATGTGCAACAAAAAAAATCTGGAAGAAACAAGTAATTTTTAAGTTATTAGTCTTCAAAGTCTATACATAAGTCAACTGTTTGAATGATCATTTTCTCTCTTATTATTGGTAATACGATTTAAAAAAAAACTATCAATCTGTGAACCATTTTGCCACTACATTATTTGAGGGTATTTATCATAGTATTGGTAGATGGCGTCATAGTCCCAAAAAATTGATAATCATCAAGTTTTAAGTGTGTTTTCTTGTTACTTCGGCGATGTAACACCCGAAACAAAAAAAACAGGTATTTGTTTTATTATTGTACCTTACACATGGATTAGGGTAACAATATTTGGTAAAAGTAAGGTCATGGTAGTAATGATTTCAAATACTAATATCTGAGCTTGATACTAAATTAGTATGTTTTTTTCTTGATTAAAAACTGTAACACCCGAAACGTTTCGGGTATTACATTTTTATTTATAAGTCGATAATGCGTATATATTGCTTGGAGAAGTCAAAAAGTATTTCTCTGAGGCTCCTTCGACCTCCCACTAGCGCTGGCATCGGAAAAGGAGTCATATTTCTCTATTTGAGACTTTTTTGAAATGTCGACTTAACACTAAAATTAAGGTATTGTTAAAAAGCCTCGATGTTCGACATTTCCAATAAATATCGTAATTCGAAATTAAAGTAATGCTATTCCAAGCCAAAAACAATAGAAAAAGCTGTATGCTGAGGAAAAATTAAACTTGAACTTTGTATATTTAAAAAAAAAGCTGGTTCGTAATTTCAAACCAGAATTCGCTCTATTTATGTTTATTTGTTGTACTCCTTATTTAGTAGTACCTAGAGACTAATAAAACATCGATTTTATCGATAAAACGCGTTGAATTTTCGTACTCGTAACACCCGAAACAGAACCATTGTAACACCCGAAACAAAGAAAAAATTTATAAAAAAATAGTAACACGTTTTATGTAACAGTGATTGTATGTTACATGGTTTGTAAATTTCATACTTAAGAAGTCCTGTAAGTTTTAGGTATGATTCCTTAGGAAAATTCGCTAAATTTCGAGTAAATGCAGCAACAGTCAGAACATAGAGGCAAAATCTCGTAACGCCCGAAACGCACACTTTTCGACTCATATTTTCGTTATCCTACATTCTAAGCTGCACAAACTTTATTATTTAGATAGAACAACTAAAAACGGACAGATTAAGGCACTAACATTATTAGAATACTAGTTCAAAATACAAGAAATTGTTGAATATGTGTGTACGAACGTAACACCCGAAACGATGGAATGACCCTATACTTATGAAATTACGATGACAATGTAATATTATGGTATCATTGAGCTGGATGGAGACTGGAGGTGGCCATAGGAACTTCTTAACGAAACGGCGGAATTGCATCTAGTTTAGGTTCGTTGGATTTGTCTTTTCGTGCACTTTAGTGCTAGATGATGTTCAGTTCATAAGTGCCACTTGTGGTCTAAACTGAATAAATATTTTTGATTTTGATTTTTGATTTTGATGTCCAGAGTGCTGATGATGAAGTCAAGAGGTGGCCAGGAGCTGGCCATAGGAACTCCTAAACGAAACAGCGGAAACTTATTGAATTTGGGTTCGTTGGATTTGTCTTCCCGGGCACTTGGGCCATAAGATTGAGAAACAACTAAAAAGTTTAAAATAAAGTTATAATCGCGCATGGAATTTATTCCTCTTTTTTTCTGTTCGCGCTACAAGCTTTCGAAATTATTTGAATCTTGCATACAATTATTTTTCTTAAAATTTCGCATTAATGCTTGTTTTAAAAAAAGTTTTTTTTTTATTATAACTTTATTTTACACTTTTTAGTTGTTTCTCAATCTTATGGTCCAAGTGCTCGGGAAGTCAAATCCAACGAACCCAAATTCGATAAGCTTCCGCCATTTCGTTTAGGAGTTCCTTTGGCCAGCTCCTGGCCACCTCTTGACTCATTAGGGGGCGTCCATAAATTACGTGAGACTTTTAGGGGGGGGGAGGGGGTCAACAAAAACCTCACTAAATCTCACGTGGGGGAGAGGGGGAGTCTCAGGAAATATCACGTAATTTTTTCCGCAAGAAATAGAGAAATAGAATTTGCCAGAAAACTGGGTTTAAATCATAAGAAAAAAAATTGGGCAAGTGCGTGGTGTGCCACGCGCAGTGTAGGATTCCGTAGTTGTCCGTCGTTAACAAAATATATTTCAGAAGCAAGCAATTACTTCATCTAAAGTCGCTTTTAATATTTTCTTCTAAGAATTTTTTATTAGATATGAAATTTTATAATACATGAGTTAAATGACTATTAGGTACTCTCAAACTAACTGACCTACCCTAACCATTATAGTTTTCTTGAAAGTTCATAAAAAGCAGTATTCATATGAATTTTTCCAGATTTTTCAAGCCAACAGTCTAGTTTTTAGAGGGAGGGGACGCCCTGCTCGAACAAAAATTGGCACTTTAAACTTTAACGTATCCCTAAATCGAAAAATAGCCTTTGAAACCCCCAAGTCATCCAACGATATCCTACACGATGGTGTAGAAGACGAAAAAAAATTCATGGTTTATATGTAGGGGAGCTACCCTAAAAAAAAGTTTTTTCAAAATATGATAACGACATTTAATTCTATACCGTCTAAACAAATAAAACTAAAAATGCTTCCGTCTGCATGTGTGAATATTAAAATGCAGAATAAATGACGAAATTAAGAAAATTGTAAAACAAACTTTCTCAGTTAAATTACTCCAAAACTATTAAATTTCGGATTTTTTAAAATATCACGTGAGATTAGGGGGTGGGGGAGGGGGTTAGGCAAAATCTCACCAAATCTCACCAAGGGGGGCGGGGGGGTTGAAAAATAGCCAAAATTGTCTCACGTAATTTATGGACGCCCCCTTATCAGGATCCTGGATATCATCTAGCACTAAAGTGCTCGAAAAGACAAATCCAACGAACCCAAACTAGATGCGATTCCGCCGTTTCGTTTAGAAGTTCCTATGGTCACCTCCAGACTCCATCCAGCTCAATGGTACCATAATAATGCATCGTCATCGTACTTACATAATGTAACCAAATTTCAGCTCAATCGGTTGAGGAAAACTGATCTTAAATTCAGTTGCAAGATTTGTCCCACACTAACTAACAAGCGAAGTGCTTGTAAAAATGGTACGCATATCTTTTTTGCGACTAGTTTTCTTAGAGTATTATACCAGTTTGGAATCTTGGATAGTTGCGTCAACTTTATACAAAACTTGCCGCAGTAGTGTTCATACTTTTTTTTTACAAAACGACGAGTCAAAGTGGAGTGAAAGTAAAAATCGTTCAAAATTTTTAGGAAATATCATATTTTGATTAACTTTTGTGTAAAAACTGCAAGGATTCTGGGGGTTTTAAGAATTGGAGTGGACAGCAGCACTATTTAAGTTGCCGATACAAACAAAAAAACAGAAATATTTAAAAAATAGTGGTCGTGGTAATGTAAAATATCATAAGGGGTGTCAATTTTCGAAGAATTTCATAATTTATTGTGTAACTTTAAAAATAATTAAGATAGATTTTTTTTCTTATTTTTCCTAAAGTAGTCATGACTATGTCCATCCTGCGGCGCCGGCTTATCCTTGAATTTTGGGACACGTTGTATAGCTTACTATGAGGGGTTAGTAAAAATATAAACTACATGTTTTATTATTGAAAATTTTATTTAAATTGGTTTGGACCATACATTATTTTTAATAACTGTCTCTCCCGGTTTCTCTGATGAGATTGCTTTCTAGAGACAAGATGCCTTACTTCAAATTCAAATCGTTATCATTATGTGTAATGTTTCTTTTTCCAATTTAAATTTCCAATTTAAAGTTGCCATAAAAAAGTAAATAGTTGTAATTTTGAAGGAATTGAGAGCATTAAAAATTGTTGGTTATGAATAACAGAGTAAAGTCACCGGTTACATAGAATAAATTTAAATGGTAAAAATGTATTCTGGAGTGGTCGCGGACAAGTGCGACTATATGAGGAAGTAGTCCACCTTGTTGGCCTTCTGCCAGCAGACCTGCGTGAGGAAGGCGGTGTCGCAGTCGTCGGCGCCGCGCTGGGTGCCGCAGGCGCGCATCGGCGCCTCGATCTTGCTCCGCAAGCCGTCCGGCAGCATCGCCAGCACCGCCTCCACGTCCACCTCGCCCGCCGACATCATGCCCGCCGTCTCCATGACGCACTTGATGTAGCACTTGAGCTTCGCGTCCGGCATCAGGTCCGCGCCCGCGTTTACCTTGTCCACCAGCCCGAGGTCCACGCCCGTCTCCTCGCCGCAGTTGTCGTGCAGCATCTTGGCCAGCTCCGCCATCTCGTCGTCCATGCCCCACGCGCGCGCCGCCAGCGCCGTTAGCACCGCGCAGACCAAGGCTCCTTTCATGGTTCTGATGGACTCGCTTCCGTCGACTGATGATCGATTAACGGATTCCCATCGTTTTATATCATTCCTTTCAATGTCACGCTGTGATCACCTGGTTCCTCAGTTTGACGCTTAAATTACACATTTCTAGTTGGCGATTAAAATCCTCGTTGTGTGGACTCGGTGTGTTTTGCGCATCTTGTGTAAACTGTAATTTTTTGCTCCATTCTGTGGAGTCATCTGAAAAAATTGCACGCCTCCGCAACACATTTAACGAGCAGGGCATATTTTTTTCATAGAAAAATTGTAGGACTGGAACTGGTGTTTTGTGTCCAAATGATTTTTGAGGTGTCACCTCTGTTAAACACATAACTGCCAGCTTGACGAGAATATCATCGAGGACCGTGCTTCCAATCATTCATTATCGTACTAAAGCAATTTACTGCCTAATGGTTTTATTTTTGGCATAGTACTTACGTTTTGGTTTAATTCCCTTCCTTGAATTATAAGGATATCAATTCTAAGCCTTAGAAGATAAATCTGGTTAGTAAAATTAATTATATTGATACGAAGCAAAATTCTTTGTTGATTTGATTGTCGATGCCTGTTTGCAACAGGGATAAGGCTAATTAAGAAGAACCGACATAGTCCGCAGAATTGTTACAATTAAGTGGAAGTGGGCGGGGCACATAGCTCGTAGAGCTGATAGCCGCTGGGGCAGAAAAGTTGTCGAGTGGCGACTACGGACTGGAAGACGTATGTAGTGTGGACAGCTCCCCCACTAGCAGGACCACAGGTCCGGTCATTATGGAAATCCTTAGAGGAGGCCTTTGTCCAGCAGTGGACGTGATTGGGCTGAAACGAAAGAAGGCTACTTATTTTGTATTCTTCAGCATTTTCTCTGCTGCTATTCACAATCCGTGCCATCCCACGCAGCACTGCCGCAAGAGCCGCACTCTTCGTGCAAAAATGAAGAATGCCGCCCACCTTAGACAGTCTCTTTCAGTATATAAATATTTCATAGGCATGCGTATGTAGGTCAACCTATATAATTATACACGCGTGACATATTTATGTACATTTACAAATTGACATCTCTCATACGCTGAATTTTTTGGCATGATGGTATATTTAGTGCTACTAGGCCTGCTGCTGCTTTCACTATTGACACTCTTACTTACTACTTCTTTTAGGTTAACTTACGCTTGTATGTGGAATGTGTAAATTCATGGAGTTGAAAAATTATAAAAACAAGCATTGCAGAGAAGGAACACTGATTCAGTCCGTCGGGAGTCGTGCCACGAATGACTCAGGCTTTGCTCTTATTCTCTTATCACTTTTAAATGAGTACAATTGCTCCCACTTATGTTTGCAAGTTTCTATTGCATATTATCTATTGTAGCCGCAAGCACGCTGAGTCGTCTGGTGCCTACTTTGAATGACAATGTAACCGTGTAGGGTGACATCACGTTCTTGCTTATTCCAATCATGGTGACATGGTGATGCATTGATGCATTTTTTATTTGAGCTTTCTGTGCTATTTTTATTCTACTTCGAATAAAATAATTACCTAAGGTACATAAATAATATTTCAGATTTGCGTCCTTATTTCGGTTAGTTCGAGTATTAGTAACAGTGTACATATTAAGATCTAAGCCAGTTGAGATATGTTACATACTGAGACTAGGCTTAGAAGTTAGATAATTTTGATCACTGGTGATAACGCAAGAAGGAAATGCGTGGGATGACCCTCGTCTGCAAAATTAACAGAAGTCCTCGATGAGAGCTCTGTGAACATGGAAATTAAAGCACAATGTCATGTTCCAAGATGTCAGGTCATGAAAAATGTTTAAAGATTCATATTGTCTCTTAGAGCAGTTTCACTCTACCAGGCCTGGCTCACTCCGCGCGGTACATCCGATAATTACCTACAGCGAAGCGCCCCGCCGGCGGGTATTATATCAGTCGAGTGTCACGCGCTCGCCCGTCAGGACGCTGGCTTGCGTTTTAGTATGATTATAATTCTATGATCGAAGTATTATTTAAAAATGGACAAAAAGAGAAAGAAATATTGTGCGGGGTTCGGGTGTTTAAATTCGAAGAGAAATTACCGGATTTATTTATTTTTTCGCTTCCCAAAGATGCTGAAAGGTATGTTGGCCATGTAGGTAATCAATAATAAAATTCTTAGGATAGTATAGGATTCTTTATTTTTCTGTAATAGTATGTTTAATTTATCTGTCTTATGTTAAAATAGGTAGGTATGAATGAAGACATTGTAATAGAACAAGTTTTTTTAATCCTAATTAGGTATATTTGAAATGTTATTTTTACTTACCTACATCCGTACAATAAGAAAATACAAATAAGTAGATTAATTATTTTTTCACTAGACAGCAACCCTAACAGCGTAAGAAGAGTTCAGAGGCACGCGATAGAAAGAGACAAAACTTGTAGGTGAATAAAATTGTAGGTACGTAGTGCTGTGCGAGCTGAATTCCACTGTATCGCGTCGCAGCAAGACTCGCATTTATTTAAATCGTCGTGCGGAGTAATCCTTCTGTACCTGTACTATTACTTATTCTGTGACTCTACTTCGGATCTGAACCTGCAACAATATGGTCCGAAGTTGTCGTAGAGCTAATGTATGGTAATTTACACATTAGATCCGAATGATCCGATATCCGTCATCCGATTTCACCTGAATCCATATTTTTACGTACATATTCGGATCGGATCGGATGTAGCGCGAAACCGCTCTAGTCCTTTTGCGATTCTTATTTACAGTCAAGTGACTAAAAAAAAAGCTCGATGACATGATGATATTAACTAGTGATGACAATACACGGTATTCAGTACTCAATACTCAATCGTTTATTGCATAACCACATTAGCATTCACATTAGGTCTTACAATTTAGGCAGTTTTACAATACAGTATTGTTCGATGCCTTGCCACATTTAGTATTCTTCTTCATTACTTTTTTTACGTATACATCCCGAGTATAACTCTATTTGTGTATTGTTATTGAATCTCAATAATTTTGAGTTAGCGTATGTATAATATCTTGAATGGTCTATTTGTAACAAATTGTTGTGTCGTTGCAGACGCGGATGCAGTCGCTACGGACAGCACACAACAGCACCATCACGGAGACATTTCGGTACATGGTCAAGCGGGAGGGTCTGCTCAGGTAACATCATTCTTCTTTCTGACTGCATGACATTATAATAAGCGTGGGGGAGTTAGACGCACCGCGATAGCATTTATTTGTATAATCAGAGCTTTGAACTGACTGATTTTCAAACTTTGAGTCAGGCTGTCAAAAATCTCAAACCTAGGATAGGACATTGTACGTTAAAGACAACCGCGTATTGGTTCTGTTACGGTGTAGTATTCATTGTAGTTTCTGTTTGCGCATGTTTCTGTACAAACAAAGGTCAGCTGTTGTCGTCGACGGTTGTCAATGCGCTCAAATAATGGATAAGGTTAGTAAACTCTAGACACACCCACGGATAATATATTTTCCTGCATAGTTTTGGTGCTATGTAAATCTTAGCTATTATATTTTAATTAGTTACTGTTCGACTATGTAATGTAGGTATACTCGTAGACAGGGATTGGTTGGTTTTACGTTATTCTGTACCCCGTTATAAATTTTGATGTCATACATGCATTAGTATAATGTACTGGTGAACTATGAATGTTTTATCTTACTTTTCTTTGCGATGTTGTTAGGAAATTTAAACAACTGAAAGTGTTGAAACTGTTCTTAGATTTCAGATTACACACGGTATCTCTGGTAACTTCAACAAGTAAAGTTTGTCATGACTACTTCTTCGTCATGATCTGTAATGCAATTAAGTTATTGTGAAATTATATAATAATATGAATACGGATGAATCGGTATTAAAAATAAATAACAATGCAAACATCGGGTAAGTAGTAATAAACAAGTTGGATAGAGGAAGATAGATAGAATTTTAAAGCATTCTTATTATTTCTTGTTATAGAGGCCATAGCTATACACACTGTCAAAAAAGTTCAAGCGTCTATCTGTTACGGATACTGCCCACTGACAGACGTAAAGCCAAGGCTTATTATTAAAGTCTATTGGTCAGGCACCCTTTGGACAGCCTCTGTGACATTATGGATGCAATAAATAATTGAGTATTGAGCCTAAAATTCTCTAAGAACATGACTTTGTGCATTATCAATTTATGTAAAGAACTCTATTTGATTTGCTTCGGGTTGCGTTTACCGTTGATTGATTGACAAAACACTAATTTGGCTGTGAATTGATTGATGTGATTGGGAGTGCAGGTTAATCAGTGTTAGGGGTCCAGTCTATAGAAAATGCTCTCGCCGATTCACTGGCTACACTCGCATGTAGACATAGGATGTAGAACATACGGCATGTGTGCGCTTGCGGTAGCGATGATATTTTTAATATTCTTCGCACGAGTCCAAGATCATGAATAAGCGCGTCTTCCAGCTCTGGGGAATTACGTTGTGCTAAATGATATTCTGATAAATTATTACTGTTTATATTTCCCTATATTCCGGCACGTGTGTGACTACCACCTCAGTGCAGTTCCGATTTACTGCACTACTCAAATTAATGAGTTAATGACTGTCATCCGTAGTGCATTACTACAATGACTGATAATTGCATCATTATTTATAGCAAATATTTGCCTGCTCACACTGCGTTTCAATTTTAGGTACTAGTTCTTGGTCGATTTAAAATTCATAAATGTAGTATGAATCCGCGACGAAGTTAGTCGCGCTGCGCCTACGACACCAGTCTGCCGCTTCGTCTTGTTATCACTTATCTGAGTCGGTTAGCGGATCACGTTTGGTCCAAAAAGTTCCAATGATAATATAGTACTTATGTCTCTTTCAAACCTCGATCACTACCTAACCTCTCGTGTTCCTATGCAAGAACCCTCTGTTAGTGAGTTGGTTTTTGACGCGGAGGGTATGAATCACAAAGGGAACACGGATCATGTGGTCCACCGAGTCATGTCAGAAAAAGTTGCACATCTATCAGCCCATATGTACCTACTCGTATATTTTAAGAAGATTAAAAGAAGAATACCAGTTCTGATGTTCCCAAAACAATTAAGTCCGGGCATCCCGGTGCAATCTTAGTTTTTGCAGACGAGAGGTGCCACATTATCAGTTATCAGTCATATCAGTGTACGTGAGCCTGCGCCTTGCTTGTAGTAAGATAACATTTTAACTTTTATCGTGATGTCAATCAACTGGCAATTTTTATTGGTTTATTAGTGGAGGCTTCCATATTAGGCAACTACGATAGTGTAGCAGACGGTTTAGTTGGTAACAAGTTATCATTTTGTAAAAGAGTGTATAATTTTTATGACTCGCCTTATTTACAAATGATTCAAGAAATCATTAATGAGTTAAATAGGTAGTACTAGTAGTACCTACCTAGTACATGTGCTCGTAGAATGCTATTTTATTTTCTATTCTAGAACATAGAGATGAAGATGCGCATGCTTTCAGCATCTATATTTTTAAACACCTTTCCTCTACCTTTCCTGGTGGTGGTCTGAAAAATATCAATATTTAGTTATAAATCATAATAACTATTTATAGTGTCCGACCGAAACTAGTTTTACGACCGAAACCGAAACCGAAAACGAATTTCGGCAACGGTGTCTATTTCGGCCGAAACCGAAACCGAAACCGAAACTTCCTTACAAGGCTCATATTTTGAGGAAAAAATAAAGAAAACGTTATTATAATCAGTCAGACTTTATTGTTTTCTCTTTAAATTGCATTAAAATTGAACTTATAAAGTGCCTTTTTACTCTAAAAGGTATCAAATTATGAATTAAAAAAGAAAAAGAAGGATTTATAGTCTAGATTTTTTTTAATTACTCTCAATATTCAGGACATCTACATATTCTACATAACCCGTCCCATGGTCGGGTCTTTTACCTTAATAATTTCTCAACAAAATTGGTAGTACGTAAGTTAGTATCTACTGTACTTGCCACTGGGATACCTTGGTGATAAATACTAAAATGTCACGTCCGAAATACCGCAGTGTCTCAAGTCAAAAGTATTTGACCAGTGTGTGTTGCCAGTGATGGTGTATGGCTCTGAGACGTGGTCGCTTACTATGGGCCTCATAAGAAGGCTCAAGGTCACCCAAAGAGCGATGGAGCGTGCTATGCTCGGAGTTTCCCTGCGTGATCGAATCAGAAATGAGGAGATCCGTAGGAGAACCAGAGTGACTGACATAGCCCGCAGAATCGCTAAAATCAAGTGGCAGTGGGCGGGGCACATAGCTCGAAGAGATGATGGCCGCTGGGGCAGAAAAGTTCTTGAGTGGCGACCACGAGCTGGAAGACGTAGCGTGGGCAGGCCTCCCACTAGGTGGACCGACGATCTGGTGAAGGTCGCGGGAAGTACCTGGATGCAAGCGGCGCAGGACCGGTCTTTGTGGAAATCCTTGGGGGAGGCCTTTGTCCAGCAGTGGACGTCTTTCGGCTGAAACGAACGAACGAACGAACGAAATACTAAAATGAACTTTGAAACTCTGAATCCATAATATTATCACCATGAAATGCACTATAGTCATTACTAACTACTTAACTAATGTTTGTTTACGTATAGCATTGCGAACCAAAAAAAAAAATTATAGGTTAGATTAAACTTGATTATACTTTTATGAGTCATATTGAACATTTTTTTGATGTTTACACCCGCTCTTATGTTATAACGACATAAAACGAGATAAAACTTACCAAATTCAAAATAAATCACTCGAAAACTCGCCACCACAAACAATCTAACTAAATACTAAATCAAACAAACAAGCGAGCGAATCACGACATTGGCTCTGATCGGATTCATTCTTTCATTCAACACGCCGAACATGACCGATAACAGCGCGGAAACTCCCGAATGCACATTCGGTTTCGGTCGTAGTTTCGGCAAGATTGCCGCCGAAAACGAAACTAAACCGAAACTCGTGTTTTTACCGAAACTCAACCGAAAACGAAACCGAAACCGAACATTCGGTCGGACACTAACTATTTATTTTGACTGCTACACAAACTTGAGGAACGTTTCCAAAAGTAATGGGAAGTTAGTTACTAAAAGTTGCAACTTGTGGACTGGCAACATCAAATATCGGTGCTAAAGTATGAAAAGGGTCACCACGAAGAAAATAACAACGCCAATCGAACAAGTCGTCATCGCACGATGAATATTGTTATTCGCCGAAGTGTCGCAGCTATGGAAGGTCAGGGGCGGGCGCGTGCATCATCATCCCTTTATCCATATGTATAAGGGGCATCACATGGCTTGTTTTTGTAGCTCGTTGAGTACTTTTTTTTTATTATGACTACCCTTTGTCCACGTCTTCGCTTTCATTAAACTTTGTTTCATGCTGGTGTGTACAACCGAGTAGAATTTCTATGACGCTAGGGAATAGTAGTAATCCGTTTAGTTTGAATGGTTCGAAGATATCTCATATTCAATTTGGTATGTACATTCTATTCTCTACCAACAGGTTGATCTAGCGCCTGGATGTAAATTAAACATCTAGGTAATAATACACTTGCACTTTCTCCGCTGCTTTTCAACTTCAATTAGTGCCAAATTGTTTTCATTTCGTCTGTCTGCTTATACTGCTTAATCCTGATCATAAGTACGTTTGTAATTCTACAATTTAATTAAAATCGTTTCAGTACATATTTATTGCGTGATCTAGATCTATTTATTTATTTTGGTTATTCAGAAACTCAACAGCTATCTTACATTTTTTGAATATTTTTTCTTACAATGGTGGCACTTCAGCTAAAAAAACAGTTCAATCAATAATTGAAATCTATTAATAGCACAACGCAAATATAACTAGGTTGGAAATTGTTGGTTACCAGTTACCACCCCCGACGTGTGTGGGCGTGCTGTCGCCAGCCAGCCGAAATTGCTCGAATTATACTTGTAATGGAATAACTACTTCTTGAAATACCTAGTTATTAGTATTTATTATTCATTGACCCATATTTAAAAATGAATTTGACCATCGATAGTAATATCTTTTCTAATGACAGCTTTTGCTACGATAGCCACTCGTATTGAGTGTGTGATTTGATAATCGCATCGCAGTCAGTTGTCAATAGATAAGGCAGTGTATTAATTAGCGATTGGTTCCGCT